CGCGGATGGGCCACCATCTATGGTTCCTTTTTCGCTGGAAAAACATGAGATTGTTTCCGCTCAAGCTTCCGCTTGGGTGCAAGGGTTGGAGGGATGCTTAGAAGTGGCCACTATGCACACCTCATCTTTGCAGACCTAGGCAATTCATTCCACACCTAACTTTCAGGGTGATCCGCAGCGTTGAAGAATGCGGCCTCTGTGATTGTGACCGGGCTGGAACCTGCCCTGCAGCAATTGCAGCATGATCATGAGTGGTCGTGGACGTTCATGTTGTGGACCGGAGACACAGCAGATCATTCTCATTGGGATTTCTCAACTGGCACCGATGGTCGAATGCTCAGGCGCAGCGCCGCTTCTCTATCCTTGTCTTTCGGTTTGTGGACTTGGCAAGAGGAAGGTCTTCTCCCGGTGTGTGGCATTTGCTCGGACCTGCGCCCTGGTTTATGCTGCTCCGATGACCAGGTATCACAGTCTGGCTTCTTGCAATTCCTCGCAAAACGAGAGCAGGTCTACTTGCAGATCAGCCTCACCAACGAGCGGAAGTTGTGGTAACAAGAAAGAAACGATAAGCCTGCCGATATCTGCTGTTTCCGTTTCCGGTGGTCGCATCGGATATGGTCCTGGAAGTCCTTATCCACGGATCCACGACTGCGATTTGGATAGACGTGGAAAACTCCTCAATGGTTGCAAATGGAGACCTGCTCGAGCCACGTGACGCTCAGGGATAGCCCGTAGTCTTGGTGATGTCACCTTCTTCTCAACGTGGATGGTGACAATCTCCTTGTTCTTCCCACGGGCGTTGGTGCAGTTGCTCCCGGATAGTCCCTCGTGAACATGTAGTTTCCTGTGGATGCCAGGCAGTCTGGGGTCGGAATTGTATTCAGGATCGTGCTGGTCACCCGTCGCCATGATCAGATCAGAGTACTCGGGGGAACAGCAAACTTTATGTTGTAATGGGTTGTCGGGGCGAGCGCAAGGATGATCATCGCTTCTCTTTCTGCTGGCACATGCTTCAAGGCGGGTGGGGAAGGATTGTCATTCAGGATGACGTCATCGACGCGTGGCGTATGAACGTGCTGCCGATCCTTGGGATTGAGTTCCTCTTGTGAAGGTATGTTGCGTGCAATCATGAATGTCATCTGCCCCTTCTTGAATGGAATTATATTGCGTCCGATTCGATGGATTCAGGAGCTCGTAATCCTTGAAGGGTGGAGAATCCCTGCTCTTGCTGCTGCTCTTGGATGGAAGGCCCCAATCTTAATCTTGTTCTTCCCACCGTTGGTAGTCTTGATCCGCGGTTTCGATCGACAGGTCGCAAATGTCCGGACAAGCGTCGCATGGACAGCTCCATTTCCTTGTCGTTTGCATATTCGTGTCCATTGGGAAGAAGTACTTGTTGTGCAGATGTGGATGGGATGCTGTCAATCCATTTGTGTGGCGGCACGATCTGATTCCGTTTCTGTCTTTCCTCGTATGTGCCACCGGTGGATGGATACACAAACGCAATCTCGCATCTCTTGATTTGTCAATGCCGTCATGAGGAACAGGCTTAGGCTTGGCGTATTGCCCAGGAAGTGCACGGAATGGTCGGTAGCATCCCTGGCTCCGTAGAGCTCGCAGGATCCATCTTCATTTTCTGGTGCTTCCTTCTTCCCATCACATCATCCTCCCCTTTGTGTGGCGAAGCGCTGCAGAGAACAGTCTGCTCGTTCTCTCGATTCCAGGTGGACGATTGGCGTTTTCCGCAATGTTGAAAAGCTTGCAAAGGGATTTTGCATTGGTGATGGTCTTGTCCATGTCGATTGTCTCACTGGGAAGATGCCAGTTCCAAATGCTTCGGGATTGCTGTCAGTATAGCGGCGCATGCTATAGATTCTCTTGATGTAGGTCACGTAGGACTGCCTGCGGATGGATGGACGGATACCAGGTTGAACTTCACCTGGAGGAAATATTGCTTCTCCCCTGACTCACGCACATGCTGATGAACATAATTGAAGTCGGGATCTGTGGCATTCCTGGTAGTACTGTGCTCCTTCAGGAAGTCGAGGAAGTTCCTGTTCCAGTTGCGCCAGTGTTTGGAATTATGCGTCGCAGAGGCGGCCGGACGTTGCGCTACTCGGAACACAGTCAAACACAAATGGTCAGCGTAATTTTCAGAACTGGACGCAGGAAGCTAAGTACATGCAATAAATTAGGAAGGCATGAACATATGTTCTGTAATCCCGACCTCTGCGAATGCGACGATGACGGGGCCATGTGCTGTATTACGTGCAAGCCATTTAACTAGAAATGCCTTGTTCTGTAGCATCGCACGACCTGGCGGGCGCGCGTCAACAGCCAAGAGGTTGCCGATCAAAACTACCTTGGTCAGCTCGCTTTGGCTGAATGTTTGGCCAAAGAATCTGCAAGGCAATGTTCACTTAGGTACACGCGCAAGGTCGTGCATCTGTCCGCTTTTGCTTTCCTTCCTCAGCATCTGTAACAATGCATGGTTTCCTTCTAGTTGCTGGGTTGTCGGGGCGGTTGTAAACAAGATTAGTTGCGTCGGTTCGAGTGTGTGCGTCAGATATTTCATTTGTGATGTCTGACCACAGACCGAGAAGAGAAAGTAATGAAATGTACGAACGCGTCAGTCCGTGCAATCCAGCAACTGTGGTGGACATTGTGGTAGCGGTGGCCTTATGCGTCTCATAATCGGTCAGAAAACTCCGAGATCTCGCTCTTCAGCAAGCATGGTTGGCGGTGCTGCTCTGGATGCGCAACGGGACAAGTGTGGAATTGTCTCCACGACTGCAACCGACTGACCTGACCTAGAACGCCTCTGCGTGGAGTATGCGTCTGTGGTGTCAGCGGAGTGTCATCTTGCAAGTTCTTGTCAAAGGTGATCTCCTGAAGTTCGTCTATGGCAACATTCGGATGGATGCACCAACCGTGCTTGTCGTCGTGCTTCCACTGAACCATTCTTGTCTTTGGAACCAACATGAAACTCTTTACGGAGTAGTCCCATGATTTCCTTTTCAATCGCACCGCCACCGGTCATAAGGAGATCATCTACATGCAGAGAAAATGCTCCATGAACTTGTCGATTTGGGGCATTGTCATCACTGGAAACAGGATCCATGAGGCAATCAACTGTGCCTTCTACATCGAATAGATTGGATGATTCCTCCCCACTGCTCCCGAATCTTCTGATTCACCGTCTTCTTTGTCAGTGTTTCTCACGGTTGCCTGTGAACATCCAGTGCTCGATGATGTTGGCACGTGAGGGATGAGTTCATCCTCACTGTCTGATTGCAGCGGCAAATTGACTGGATTGTTCGGATTGGCACTGGGAGAGGCAGGTTCATTCCTGGTGATTGGTCACCTGGCTTCTTCCCAGTCTTCTGCTTCCTGCTCAAGATGCGGCAGTTCGAGCTCTTCATCGTTGTCCTCATTTTCGGGAATGTTCAAAGTTACTGATGGTGATGGCACACAACAGTCGGGAAATTACTGTTTACCGTTTGTGCGGGGTTGTTGTGAGGCTTGCCATGCGGCGGCAGCGATCCTTGTGGTGGATCATGGGATGGTTGGGGCATATCCAGTGAATCCTGAGGAAGATTCAGCATGTGTTGGTCTGAAGGTTTGGAAGTTTTGGATCAGGCGTGGGGTGATCTGGTTGGACATCTGGTCATTCTGTCTTGATGGGCATCGGCTTGATGGCCGCATCTTGAAGATAGGCTAGATCAAAATCTCCCCAGTTGCACGCGGACGCAGGCATGCCAAATTCTGGTCATCTGAGCCGGCTGCCGGAAAGCTAGGTGCGCAGCGTCAAGAGGTGGCATGAGCGGCATACTCATGCCGATGGCGTGGACGTATGCTGCGCATTGGTCATGTTGGGTGGACATGACACGCGCAATGTTTTCAGCTTCTTGCAACCGTTCCACATGTTATGGCAACGCCAGTCAACTAGACCTGGTGGGTGCTGCTTCATTGTCGTTGGAAATGTTGGGCTAGCGGGTCTTGGATGGTCAATGGCTGAACATTCTTGTTGAATGGGAGGTCTTGAATCTTAACAGAGTTGCTGCTGCTAGTCATATTGAGCTCCTGGTCGATGGCTTCCATGTCTTACGGAGACCAACCTGCTGGTTGGAGAGTGGCTCAAAGATGTTTTGGAGAAGGTGCGCCTCACTGTCAAGCGGCTTCACCTTTGTGTCGCAGGGTGAGATGCACGAGATCTGGCAGAATTGGTAGGGTATACCGTTCTGCTTCCGCATGTTTCCGTGTTGCTTTCAAGTGGTTGATGTTCGTGTTTTGACGAGCTGGCGAATTTTTGCATTTCCTGAAGATTTGCCTCAGCACTTCAGGCGGTAGGCAACGCATCACGCTTGTTGGCTTTAGGCCGTTTTCGCTTTTCACAAACTTTCTGCTGGTCTTGTTGGATGTTCGGCTTGTTTGACCATGGACCGCGCACCGCTGCCATGAGGATGACATCAGGCGCGTGTTCCTTGACGATCTCCATGACGATGTCTCGTTCCTTGAAAGGTGACACGGTGTCGAATCCGTGGGTGTCAACAAAATTTCCAACCTTGAGACCTGCAAGTCCGCAGCGTTGGCTGAATCTTGCACTTCCTGCAAAGATCTCAAGAACACGGGTTTTCCCTTTCCGTACACAACTCCAATGTGCTTGCTCAGGAATGGTCGTGAGATCTTCCACAAACATGTTCTCCGCCGGCCTTGGTGCTGCGGGCTTCAAGGTTGTTGTCCCGTCAATGCGTGAGGTTGCTGGCTTAGGAGCCGGCATGGATGTTTTTTTTGGAATCGGCTGAGGATCTTCCTTGTTCCTTCTGCAAGGAGCAATTCCTGGTTTCCCAGGTGGGATGGTTTCATCCTTTCTGACCTTTGTTTTCTGACCTTTGTCATGCTTGCCTTGATGTTTGTGTTTCCGAGGTCGAATATGGCCTTGCTCCTTCGAGAGAAAACGCCTCCCTTTTAACCATATGCCTCCTTCGCTTCCATCGAAACGAATCTTGGATTTGTCTTCCTGCAGGAACAGTGGCGTCCTCGACACCCTGCGTAGGAACTACTGTCTCGCAAAAGTAGTTCTAGTTGACTTGAAACATATCAATCTTCTGCAAGAAAATGCCAACCTTTGTTTTAGATTGATCCCAACAAGAGTGATTTTTAAATCATCAAAAGATGTTTTTGATCTCGGATCCTCTGGGGTAAAGGCTGTTATTGATTAGCGGTCATCAAAGCCGCCTTGCTTCCCTTTTGGTTCGTCAAAGATTTTTGGCCATCGAATCAGCGCCAGCGTGCCTGAGGCCCCACACTTGGTTGGATTGACCTTTTTGTGGCGGTGTGGCTGCAGTCTAGTTTGTCTAAGCAAGTTTGTTTGGTTGCGACGCGGTGGCTTCGTTCTGTTTTTCAGGCCCTGTGTTTGGCACCCGCAGCTGAGGACGTTTTGCATCCACCCTGAAGGTTGTGGCAGAGACGCAGGTTGAGGGCTGGGCCCTAGTTTTTGGGGATGGCCTGCCCGTTTTGCCGGGCGGCCTGGGCAAGCCCAACGCCGCGAACTTCGTGGCGCCTTGGATAAAGAGTCAGGGCTGGGTTTTCGCACAAAAAGGACTCATTGCAATGCCGGGTTGTCTATTTGTGTTTTGCCGGACGATTGCCAGCGCAGAATGCATGCCAAGAGTATTCAGGAAGTCCTTTGAGGTCCACAGCCTCTTTTGCAAGCGCTTCCGTTTGTTGTCATGTCATCTACATGATGAGCCTGACTGGACAGCAAAAACGCAGAGTAGCCGAGTAGCCTAGTTCGCGACAACAGCGTTTTTTTTTGGGGGGGGCCTTGCCCGATTTCAGTTCGCCAGGAGTGCATGCAGATGACCGGCATGATCAGAAACTCGGTCAGCAATTAGCATGCTCTGTAATGGCGCTTGGGCAACCTTCCTAGTCTGACAGTCGTGTGACGAATCCGCGAAGCGTTTCAAGGCTCGGTCTTCTCCCCTCAACTTGTTATTGGGCCGCTTGAAGATGCCACTTGTCAACTTAGCGAAATGCAGGCCACCCACTGAGGGCCACCAATCACCTGGGTCGCCGCCAGGTGAAGCCACGGCCACAGCGCGCACAGCCCGCAAAGCCGGGTGGCCCAATGTGGGAAGCTGCTCAGTGGCTGGTGCCCCATTGCCTCGCAGAATTGGAAATCGCGTTTTGAGAGTTTGCTTCTGAGCCGTGGACATAGACAAGCTGCAGCTGTCATTATTTGACAGACAGGCCTCTCAATACCGCGCCATCCTATCGAAACAAGTGCAAGCTTCGGAGGCAAAGCATGATCCCGTTGGCTTTCCTAAGGTATTCATACCGATCCAGACCATCGGCTTACGTAGATTTGGCATGCCAAGTGATTGCAGGCGCTTGGGCTTAGCGGTGCTCTTCCACATGGGGAGTTCTTGCCTAGTAGCCTAACTAAGCGGCGCTCGGTATTTACTTCTGTTCATTTCCTCGTGGCGGGATAGGTGATCAAAAGCTAGGTTCTTCAGAATCCTCGCAGTCAGCACGAGTAGAGGCATATGTGTGTGTAAGGGGAGAAAGAAGGAGTTGCTTGCCTTGCGGGGACAAGGCGACGCCTCAAGCAGCTTTGAAATAAAGTGTCGGCCATGAAGATCCCAAAAGTCGGGACTCGGGACTGGGACAGTCATTGGTTGCCGCTTTGTGTGGAGCTTCCTTCCCAAGGCTGTCCTGATTTCCGAGGCCCCAAAAGCAGCACTCAACCTTTGCTTGTGAACCCAGCTTAGAGCCAAGGACTCTCCGCCCGAATCTGCGACTTGGCAAGCACGGAGATGGGGTCAGTCGGTCGCACCTGAAAGAGCCAGATGCCTTGCATTGGCTGTAGTTGGTGGTCTTTGTCTTGATTGGGACAGCTCCCTCAACTTGCAGAGAGCCGCACCCCGCCAGGAAGTGCCTGCCATCAAGCCGGTAACTGGGGGCGTCTCCTTGAACATTGTTAAGGGGCTCGCCAATGGCACGGCTTTTGCGGCAGTGATAAATGTAGGCCAGCATAGTAGCAAGCTCAAAGCAGAGGCACTTGAACCCTGGAACCGACGTGTTGCTTCCAGTTGCAGCGAAAGGCCTGATCAGGGATCCTTGTTCTCCAGGTTGCCGGGAACTAAGGCGGTGTGGCTCTCAATGAAGGGCCCCTTCTTTTTCTTTGCCATGGAGCCTGAGCCTCTGAAGCCCTTCGCCTTTCTGCACCTGAAGAGCTGGGTCACTGCATCTGGGCTGCAGGGCCAACATTGAACACGTTTTTTGTCCGCAAGCACGTGGATGTCATCAGTTGTGTTGGATATGGATATTCATGTGGCATGCGTCTTTGGGCATTTCAAATGGCGTGAAAGGGGTGGTTGAGCTGGGCGATTGGGGTGGGTGTCATTTTTGGAACAGAACTTAGCCATTGCCATTGCCGGGATAGGGGAGGTTCAATTCAATAACAAACTGACCCGCAGTAAGTATCACTGCAAACATATTGGAAGTTCTTGAGGTCGAGCCCTAGGAGGCACTTTTTCTTGCATTGTTGTGTACAAGCTCACCTACGAAGGTGAGCAATGGACATAGGCCTGGCATGTTTTGAGGGTCAGTCCCCTTGAGTCGTTCAGGCAAGACCGGGGATTTTCGGCTCGGGCCTAAGGAACTGGATCCATCCAGGCGGGTTTGGTTGGCCCAGTCTGCCCTTTTCAGCGGAGGCAAAGCGCCAGCTGACAACTGGACAGCTTGGCAAAGGGCTTCAATGCGGGAAAGGTCTTCCATTTTGGTGGCCCAGTAATTTTTACCACTTCCCCTTGCCGCTTGGCCATGCTTGGCCCATTGTAACATGGGCTGGTGAAGGAGCTGATCTCTGAAGAATCCTTATTTAGGCCGACGGTGATGCGAGTTTTTGTCCACTACACCACAAGCCACGACCTAATTGGAACAGTCGCAGAAAAAATGGACGTACTGGAAGGCCCCAGCCCATGCGTAAGATTGGCACCATGACTGCAAAGCTCCACTCATAGCGCGCATACATTGGAGGTTCCGGAGTCCATCGCTGCCGATTTGGAGCCTTTTGCTCTCGAAGATTTGGCGGCATGTGGGCATTCAGCTTGGGAAACATGGATTTGTGCTGCGTGTTGTACACGTTTGTTGGTTGCCAGAGCCGTGCGTGAAGTCACGCAGTGTCAATTCCGCTAGGTCTTGCTTCTCATTGCGAGCCACAAACGCAGATGCAGAGGCCAGGCGAAGTGCTGGAAGTCGGCGCTCTTGTGCCAATCGCCTCGTCGTTTCCTCTGGCGAGCCCTCAAGCTTTGCAACTGATGGGGATTCTGAGCTCCAGTCCTTCGAGCTCCAGGCGGTTTGTCGCCATTTTCGGGGAGTTTTCAGCGGGCTGTGTCATGCCCATGCTTTGTGCTTGTTTAGCTTTGCCCCCCTCTCCCCGCAGACCCCTGGAAGCAAGAAACATGTGTCTTGGTTGAATTTGAGGTGCTGTTTGCTGACCACAGGTTGGGTTGAAATGAGCCGAGCAGTGACTGAACCCCAAGTTCGTGAAGATGGCCGCTGTCATTTGAGCTCACTGCCGAACACTTTGCGCTGTTGAACGTGATGAGCAAGCTTCGGCAACAGCAGCCACTGCAGGACGAGACACATATCCGACTAGAATGATCCACATGTTGGTGGGTGGTGGCCCCGCACCGACACTGCCTGTAGCTTGTAATTTGGTTGCCTGAGCACTGCAACTGGCCTTGCCAGCCCAAGATGAACTCATTGTAAAAATGGCCATTGATGGGCCGAGCTTTGCATGAGTGCTTAGAGAACCACTGCCACCACTCATTACCTGCTTGATGTTGTTTTTGCAATCTGGCCACTGCTTCTTTGGCGCATTTTGCTTGGATGTTAGGACGTTAACTTTTTGCCAACTAATGGGTTTTCCATTAAACCACTAAAAGTTAAACTTTTAGCAGGGGAGCAGAAAGCAACTGAGGGCTTTCTACTGAAAACAGGCCTGTGGTTTTGAGGCCCCCCCCGCGAAGCTGCAGCTCATCGTTCTTCTGCCTGATGGCCGCTGCTTGGCGATTCTGCTGGCCAATGGCCAGTGGGGTCACTGGTTTGAGCGACTGGCACAAGAATTTGCCGTGTGGAAGCTGCCACGGTAGGGAGTCTGGCTTGGAGTGGCTGCTCTTGGGTTGGCCGGCGGCGCTTAGGTTATGGGATGCGAGGTCCACGAAATGGCGATGGCGTTTAGATCCTGTAGGAATGTCTTTGATGCGAATCATGATAGCAATCCTCCAGTTTTGCTTGGAAACGTACTGTACCAAACCATGCCAGCAACCACACCTTATTGCTCATCCCATACATGCTCAGCAACACCACGCCCATTAAGCTGCACGGAAAGGCAGATCTTGCGTAGCTGGTGTCTATCATGCCATAACTTGCCCCCAGCATTGCAAAGAGTTTCGAGCTCTCCTGGCAGCCAGAGGCTTCCAAGCCTTTCACTTGAAGAAGCTGAACTTCGAGCTTTCTGATCCGACACTGCAGCTGTGGACGCAGGCAAGTCTCTCAGTTGCTGGTGGCTTCTGGCCCTCTGCAGTTGAATTGCTCGAGCTTGCCGCCATCATTCGCCCCCGAGGCGCTTCAGGCCCTGAAGGACCAGCAGTCGGCCCCCTGCGCGGTGGACGTGCCAGTGTGACCCAGGGGAAAAAAAACCTCCGCGGCGCGGGCTTGCGAAAGACGGCTTTGAAGGATGCCGTGGGAAGATCGTGATATGGGGTGGCAATGGTTCAAGCCGCAACATGCTTGCATAAACCTTTGAGGAGAGATATGTGTTATGCAAAGCTGTCTTGAAGACAGCCATTGGCATGTTTATTGATGATATATATGTATATATATATATATTGAACTGACACACAGGTTTGCTTTATGCAAAGCATTTGAGTAAACGTTTCAGCGAAGATGGTGCAAAGGCAAGTTGGTTTCGGGTTTGTTGATGTTATCTGACTAGCAACGTTGTCAGCTGCATAGCTTCATAGGCTCGGCGGTCTCTTTGATGGATGGCTGTGCGTCGGACACCCGTAAATCAATAACGTACCAGAGGATGATGTTAATAGCATGAGCTGTCAAACTGTCAGCGGGCAGCGAGATGCTGCGAGAGAACAAGTGGCATTTTCTTTTTGAGTGCTGACCGGTTGCGTTTACAGGCAGGCTCCGGAGATCGGGGCGTGAAGGCGCGAAAGACCACTATAGGAGATACGGCGAGAAAGTTTCAGCCTGCGCGTGTCTCGAGGCACTCAGCACCTAGCTGGATGCATTGCTGGGGCCCCAGGCCACACAATAGAGGAAGGTGAAAAAACCTGGCGCCGTTTTGTGTATTCACTAGCTTGCATTGCTTGGCGTCTTGGACGGTATCATGTTGGGGCCCCCGTGTGTAGGTGAGGCAAGATGTCCAAGTCATGTTGGGCATAGGCACGCCGCAGGCAGCAAAGCGGAGTCAGGAAGCTATTAAACTCCCATTCAGAAAGGCCAAGCCTGTTGAGCTGGTGCCCTGCCTTTGGTGAAACATGTTTCGGAGCAGTTCTGACACCAAGCCATGGATTTCTGTTGAGCGCTGCGGCTTCAGGCATTGCTGGCAGCGCAGCTGGCACGCAGGCCACGCTCCGAACGACATGCCAGCGTGTGCATATGTGCTCATGTGCAATGTCATGGGGTCGCTATTGGGATGTGCCACAGGCACTTCAGTGGTTTGGGTTGGTGGTTGGTTGGGTGATTTGTTGGTTGGTTGGTTGGTTGCGCGCGGGTGTGTTGTTTGCCGTTGAACGTCGTGATTTCGCAACTCCCATTGTGTGCTAAAGACGAGCTTGAATTGGTGGCTTGAGGTGTGAAGGGCTTCCAGCTGAGAATTCGTTGCTGAAGCTGAGGCTGCCACGAGGGCGCAGGCGGAAGCTGGCTTTGCGCGCCCAGAACCGAGATCTGAAGTGCTTGGTATCGAGTTGATAGAAACACATCGAGCAGCTCAGGTTGTGCTGCATGGTGTCTTTGAATTTAGCAAGTATGGGGTTTGAGCTGGCAAGTCAGCTGAATCATCAACCATATTGGTGCTGGACAATATGTCGATGTGGCAGGTAAATGCGGCGGCTTGTGCGGTAGCTGATGAGTGATAGCACCCCACCCAAGGCCAAGGAGGAAGTTGACGTTGTGGTGATAGGCGCATGGGCATCTCTGCCGATCTTGGGATACAAGAGGTCGGTTGCAGTTTTCAAGTTACATAGATATTTCTGTTGGTGCTCTGAATTCAATGCCTTCCTGGCCTTCCCCCATGGCACATAGGCTTGAGAGCCGTTGCTTAGGTGGCGAGCTTGCCCCTTTTCTGTGCTTTGGTATGATAGGGCAAAGGGGGTCGGCGTTTGAGCTGAACTATCAAATTCTGGGTGACAGGGCTCAACAAAATGAAGTGACGAGCAAGTGACAGTGCGTTCGCAGATGGATTGCTCAGGTCTTTTGTCAGTAAGACGAAAGAAAGTACTGCTACAACACCAACGATGAGTTGGCAAACCAAGAGCAAATTGGATGATCGGGAGCTTTTAGGATATAGAACCTTCAGAGAATCATCGGGAACCCCCTTTTGGATGGGAACTGAAAAGCCAAACTAGGTGCTTTGACCTGGTTGTTCCCCACCCAACAGGCTTGGGGACGGGGATGTCAGATTCTAAGTGACATCCGCCAGCCTGGCCACGGCCAGTTGACAGACACTGCTAACGAGACGACAGCGACGGCTCTGACAGGTGGAAGCCTGAAGCTGTGACAGGCCACTTGAGAAAGCGAAGGAGACAAGACCCAGGAGAACTGCAGGACAAGCGGCTTCTACACTTTCATTTGCCATCGGCCCATGTAGTTGAATCTTGAGGCTGCAGATGCTGCGTCCTTGCCATGGCAGAAGGGAATCACCAGAAACAGAAAGCGCAATCACGGCAAAAGCTAGGGCTGCTATGATTAGGGTCAACGCTGCTTTGTTCCGTTTTGAGTCGGCAGAGTTTCTTAGCCATCGCATCAGCCAGCTGCGTGCTTGAGGGCCCTCATGCAATCGGATTGGCCTTTTGGTGCCTGCCTGTTTGCTGCCCAGCTTAGTCAAGCAAATTCCTCACGTGGGGGTGGCTCGAAGCAACGTATTTGCATTTTTCTCTGACCTGAAGCTTCCCCTTTTTGCGAGTGAGCTGTGCAAGAGTGTGGCAGGCTCTGGTTTTGGGGGCCTCGCGTGCGCTGGGCTGCTCGCGCTAGTGCTCAGATGCCGGGCTACCGGTGGGGCGGCCACCCCGCAACCTAAGGCTTTCCTTTCGGCTGCAGCTGGCGCCAACCTTGTCATTTTTGTATGGGCATCGGTGCTACGCGAGACTGTCTAGATCTAAAGAAGTTTGGCGTTCCGCGGCCAGACGAGGCGAATTTAGCTGGGGAAATGGCAGGGCTGGTCCTGCGTGTGGCAACTCCTTGAATGCTTTGGAGCTGTGTTGGCAACAAAAGTCACCAAGGGACAAAGTCCATGAGCCCCTCAAACCACAATGCCCATCTCGGAGCCTCAGTCCTCGCTCGTGTCACGCCTGAGGCGCGGTCCGGTCGGCAAGTGCTGGTGTGCGAATCCCACACAGCGCCGGGCGGCGCGATGGCCTCGGGCAGTGGACCGCTTCCTTGGTCTAGTCAGGGGCCAAAGTTGTCAGAGGGTCCAAGTAGCTTCTCCCCTTTTCACCCCCCAGAAGCCATCCTCAGGAGGGACTTGGACCCTCTGGGGTTGGAAAGTGTTTGACAAGGAATGGGGGTCACTCTTGGTCGGAACAACTCGAACGAAGGCGACTCGCGCGGCATTCGCTTCTTTCATTCTGATGTTCCATTCAGGTTTGCGGGGTGGACTGCGGCAAGTAAGCTCAGAATGTTTCCGGCAGAGAAATTATGTCCAACACTCCCATCTCTACAAGTCGTTGTGTTTCGCTTTCACGAAATATTTGTCATGCAACGCGCGCCAAAAATTGGGCAGTGCTTGCAATAAGAGGGGCACGGCCGTTTGAGGCGAGAATGGACCATCCATGTCCGAGGCTGGAGGTTTGGTGATCAGGTCAGGCCAGGCATGACACCCTTGGGCACGTACACAACTGCGTGTTGTTGACCCTACCTAAGATGTACAACCTAAGTGATGGAACATCGCCGTAAGCGAATCAAATTGGCCAAGCAAATCATACAGGGTGGAGGCCTTCTGTTCGTTCTGTGCAAGGTGTCAACTCCCAAAACAATGTTCAAATAGAATGACCTTCGCACTTGAAACATCCTCGATTTGTTTATCAAGCCTATAGCTTTGGCGTCCCCAAGGTTATCCACAGCTCATTTGAGTGCGACCACTTGGAAGCAGACGTGCCCAGGTGGCTCACTCGCAGGGTGCCTACAGAGAAAGTGTATGGGTTAGGCATGGCTGCAAGGCCAGCCATCTTGGATGATCCTGGCGTGGGAGGTGACCAAGGAATTTGGTTGATTCAATGTTTTGGTCCAGGGAATGGGGAAATTCTCGGTTGTTCTTGCCATTTCTTGCATCGGGGCAGCAGTGGAAGAGCATTTGTTTCTGACATTTGGCAGTTCACGACGCATCCTTCCACTTGGCGCATCCAGCTGCAGTAATGATGCTGGCTCAGGACAAAAGCACCGATTTTGAGGAGATCCGATGGTTCCATTTGAGTACGCGCTGGTGGCATGCTTGAATACATTAGTTGGCCTGTTAGAATGCTCATGCCAGGAAGCCTCGCCGTATGTAGGATGTGAATGAAGGCTAGCTTTGATGTCAACATCCTTTTGAACACGCGAGGTCGGACTTGATATGGGTGTGTCGCTGTGCCTGGTTAACCACCCCAAAGGGTACCCTTCAAAAGACACACATCACACACCCAGAACTTGGAAATTGGACGCCGAGCATTGTTTAACCCGATTCAGACCGGCGACTCCAGCAGACTTGTTGACGTTACTCGCAGCTACCGAGACCTGCCGGGTTTTTCCCGAGGTTTCGACGGGATGGCTATGAGTTCGACAGCGGGCCAAGCCGGGCCCGCGAGGAGTCATTGGGGACTCAAGGCTTTAGGCACTCGTTCAAATCTCGGTAAGTGGCACATTGGCATGTCTTTGTGGGTGTCACTTTCAATATGCCAAGTGCCGTAAAGTGCCGTAAAATTCAGCTCAGAGCCACTGCGAATGCAGTAAGAAGCTCTACATGTTTCTTTGCCCGTGTCATCTCTGGAAGGGCTCAAGTTGCTTCTGGGGCCAGCGACCGACAGAACCTCTCGAAGCAAGCTCGCAGACAGGTGGACCTTGGGCTCTTGACCTTTTGGCCCTTGACCTGCCCTGCCTTTGGGCCAGCATTTTTCCGATCGGATAGCCACGGCTTGCCCAATAGCCACTGCCCTTCTGGCAAGCGTTCTCAAAGGCACCTTGTCATTGGCCAGCATGGCAACCCTCATGCGAAGCCAGGCGACTGATACTGGCGTTCAGGAACTTGAGTTGTGGAGCTTCTTTGCTACATGATAGTCACAGACCGTTGGCATGATCATGATTGTTGTTTCTATTGTTGGTTGAACGAGCGAAGGCCTCAGTTACAGGTAAACTGCTTTGCCATCCCCGTAGGCAGAACACACCGCACCTGGACACCGCCGAGAGGCCACCAAAGCACAAGCGGCACACCGAGACACCACAAGGACCTATGCACCACGTGCACCACGGCACCTGCACCACCACCACAAACACTAAAACAGAACCACCCCGTCGCAGGAACACAACTGGAGCAAACGGCAGAAGAGCACCACTGCAAACCCTGCACCGGTCTTTGAGGCACCCGTCTTAATTTTTGGGGGGTCTGACATTTGGGCCAAAACAGGAGCAAGAGTGCCTCTACTGAACCAGGACTTGCGGCATCTGGTAACACGCGTTTACTTACTGCGCCCGGTCCCAGCACACAGAGATTCATGACCGTCTGGACGCGGTCCGCGTAATAGACGCGGCTGGACACTACCGGGGGCTTGGGAATTATATTTTGGGGCGCACGCAGTGGGAGACTGAGGCCTTTTATCCGGATGCTCCGCACCCATCTCAGCAAACCCAGTGCGACACCTGCTCAATGCCTTGGGCGAGGACAGAAGGGAATGCCAAGTTGGCTGGCTTAGTTGCCATTTTTGCGGGCGGCCGTCAAGTTTTCGAGGAGGGACGCTAGCATAGTTGGAAAGCCGGCGCTTCTTACACCTACGGCCCTCCTAAAGCTGAATGTGACTCCCCCAGCTGAGCAGCTTGCTCTTCCCAAACGATCTGTGTCTTTAGACTGGCCTGGGGGCCAGATGTGCAACTTACTTGTAGCATCAGGTGGCTGCCGGAAACTAGCACTAGGCTTTTGATGACGGCCACTTTCGCCTTGCCTGTCTCGTTTCCGTACGCTTGGGTCATGCGTGCAGTTGTGCATTTGCAAGCTGGCGCAAGCAACCTACTCGTTACCTTGGCAAGGTGAGTTGCCAACAACCAGGTTCAATATTTGTCGGTTTGCTTCTCTCCCTTGGTACCAGCACTTGCGTTCATACGCGGAGTTCAACTTAGGAAGGCGCGGAGGATCTGAAGACAACACTTTTGCAGACGTATGGCACAGATGTTCAATACTTGGTTTGGAAGAACTGCCATATCAGGCTACGTGGGTGCTGTTGAGGGGTCCATGGGTGCTGCTCGAGGTGTCCATGTTAAGCACTGCATATTCGCTCAGCTGTTTGGCTCCGGGGCTGCGCCTTCAAATCATTTTTTCAGGCGGGGCTGCGAGCCATGCACGGGGTCGGAATAGCCCATCAACTTGGTTTCCGCAAACGGAAGCCCAAAAGCGGAGGTTGTTTTTTGGGAGTCTTCTTCCCGAACTCCGGAGTAGGGCAACTTTCTAAGCTGGGCGATGCCTGGCAATGAAGACTCCATCGATAGTCATGGAACACTACCAAGGGAGTAATTTGTAGTGATGTGCGACGATGCATTACCCAACGCTGGAGGAGGTGGTGGTGGTGGTGGTAGTTGCCGGCGTTTAGGTTGACATTGGACTCGCTTCTATCATTTGCCTCGCTAATGTGGTCGCTCAGAGTTGTGCTGTGATGATGGCGACTGTGAGCTCAATCAAGTTTAGTCAATGTTCCTTTCGCATGCATGTCCTGTTTTTTGTTGTTGGCGGGTTGACCTTGCTTTTGTCAGTGCTGCGGTAGTTGTGCCGTGGGCAGCGAAGTCGCCCACGCAGTGTTGTAGTTAATTTGCGGCAGCTGAGGTGCTGCCGCCAGTGTTGAAGCAAGCGGCAGGAGTGGCAGCAAACAACAGCCGCGAATGCGGGCAGCGAGACAGCAGTAACAGCACCACCTTCAGCGCGACTAATGAAGATCCGGGATAATGTGATATTTCTTCCTGATCACCATCTCCTGGTCATTGTCACCTATCTCCAGGATATAGACTCATTCCCTGGTGACCAATATGCCAAAGATAGGAAAGAATCTCAACTTCCGGGAATTCCATCTGTTCCTCAGGACCTATATCCCTCTCTACCTTTGTCCACCTGTCCCAACTAATTATCCTTCCATCTCTATCACTTCCTCCACGCTGTCACCTGACTAATCCTTGCAGCATCTTATGTCTCAGGAACTTGTCTTTATGCTGTCATTCCATGTAACATCTGTTCCTTTAGGATGTCTCTTATCCCAGTCGTCTACAGCTTAAGGATATAACCGAGAGAAAGGATAAAGATAGGAAGGTAATATGATGGAAGTAAACAGACTGGGATAAAGGTAATAATCCTTGAAAATAAAGACTGTGATTCAAGGCTCTGGGATTTTATAGATGACATTTGGATTATTTGGGATTACATCTCTTTCTTATTCTCCATTCATTCGTTATCTCTCTAACCTCAACCTCCTTCGCTCATCCTACATTGAAGAATTCTCAATTATAGACCAAGAGAAAGAGAATTAGAAAGGAAATCATGCACTCTTCAACTCTCTATCATCTATCTACTTCCTATGGTCTAACTATTTCATCTGGAAAGGTCTCAGAGATAAGAAAGACAGGATATCACGTACATCTTCTTCTAATCCTATTCCTTTCACTCGTGAGTTGGCTTCTGAAGTAGATATTTGCCATGTCACGTCTATTATTTTCCATCTCTAATTCACTTTGTGTTTATCCTTTCCTAGCGTTTCTTTCCCCTCACTTCTATCGTTCGCTGGTATATCCTGATAGCAGCAGCAGCAGCAGCAGCAGCAGCAGCAGCAGCAGCAGCAGCAGCAGCAGCAGCGGCTGCATCAGCAATAGTGGCGACGGCGGCAGCAGCGGCAGCAGTAGATAGTGTCTAGTAGCATCAGCATCAGCAACTGCAGCAGTAGGTTCAGTCGTAGTAGCATTGGCTTACTGCAGTAGAGGTGGCAATTCCAAACAAGCTCCCTGCATGCGAGCCTTGCTACATTATATGGATTGCATCGGGGGCTGTCCAAATTATGGCGGCTTTGCTCATTGCCATTGGACAAGCAGTTTGTTATAGCTGAAATTGAGATTTGGTACAGCTTTTGCATGAAGGCTTCGGGACGGACTGGTGTTGCAGAGGCCTTCGCAGCAGTTGCATAGTTGCATGGCAAAGCTGAGGCGAATGCTGAGATAGCAAAGCCGGGCACGAGGAGCAATGCCTACAGCAGGTTTGGGGAACCGGTGCCGCTTTAGCATGTCTTAGGATACTGGGCAGTCAGGGGCATGACCATGCTTTTATCGGCCTATGGGACCTGTTGGTTGTTGGGTGCATCGCGTGGGGATGGAGTCAGCGTTCCACCAGATTCATACTGGGAGGTCATGGGATAGAGCATGATAAGCGTACAACTGGTATACTGTTTGTGTTGCAGGTTCACTTGGCTTTCATTGCAGTCCGCTGTTCAAGCAGCAGGCAAGAAGATTCCGGGCACATTTCCCGGTCAGCATTTTAGTCAGCCACAAGGGGCAGCCTGCAGGAGATGGAAGAGCCCCAGCAAGGGGAACAGGCGTGGAGTTTGTGTGTGTGTGTGCGCCGCAGGAACTGGGGGAGAGGGCTACTCCAAAAGCAAAGCAACAAGACCATCAAAAAATGACTTCAACACAGGCGCTTCTTCCAGTAGAACAGCCCAAGGAAAATCCAAGCCGGATAACACCGACGGTCGCGGGCTTTGTGCGACCAAGTTGGCTGTGAGGGGGTTGGCGTCTCAAGCTGCGATGGGATGTGCTCCTTCATGGTAGCCATGCCCATGGCATAGCAAGAACAAAGTGTGATCGGCCACCGCAAGATATCCTAACTCGCTAAGATCTCAACGGGTGAGCTGCCAGAAGTCAGACAACACATGGCGACTTGAGCTCCGCCTCTTCCCCAAAAAAAGTATCCCAGGAAGTTTGTGCAGGGTTCTGCTCCGCCTGTTCCCGAGAAATCTCCCAGGAAACTGAGCAGAGGGAAGAGGGAGTAGGTCAGGCGACTTTCTTTCCGAGTGCTGGCCAGCTCACTCCTGGGGGCTGCCTGCGCAGGCCATCGTCTTCCACCTGGAGGTGCCCAGCGCCACGTTGCCCAAAGCGGAGGTGGCCCTGGTGCAGATCTCAGGCCTCGGCTTGGAGGAGGACCGAAGTGGCTCACTGGGACTCAGTTCAAAGCGAATCGACCTTTTCACCTTTTGGTTTTCCCTTTTTGGCCCATTTTTAGTAGAGGTCCCAAAAGGCTAACTTTTTGTTTCCAGGTCCCAAAAGGCTTTCAGAAGCCATTGGCCATTGGTTCTAGGCCTACATTCCCCATTCCGGATCCTGCTTTCTAGAAGACCTCTGGAAACTCAAGGGGAAAATGGCTGGTTGTTGAAAAGAAGGATGGCGGACAAAAATCTCAAGATTCGCACCTGGTTTGGTTGCAGTGAACCAAAGCGGGTGTTATTTTCCACCGGACGCTGTCAGATTGTCAGACGGAACATCCCAGGCCCATAGCATAGGATCCTCCATGGGATAGGCAGGGGCTGTCGCAGATCCTTTGACTGGACACCGAGTTTTTGCTTGTAAAGCGGACTGCTCTTGAACGCCAAGCCAGTTTCTTGATAGTTGAAACCGGCATCTTGAAAGACCTACTGCTCCCTTCAGCCGGAGCTGAAGCAAATCCCAGTGCGAAGCAGCCTTCGCCAGGACTACTCCTCGGAGCTGCAAGTAGAGGAGCAGAAGCTCGTTCTGTGGGGAACCCCCTCGTTCCGCGGTTTCAAAGCAATGCCTTTGTGAAGACGTTGCATGGTGTGGCGCATGCTGGGTGATCACTTCAGGGCCAAATGCAAGGATGGCCTGCAACATAAGATATGTCATATCAAATACCCACTCTCTCTCTCTCTCTCTCTCTCTATCTATCTTTCTCTCTTCCTCTTTCTCTCCTTCTCATTCTCGCGGTCTCTTTCTCTCTCTCTCTCTCATTCTCTCTCTCTCTCTCTCTTTCTCCTTCTCTTTCTCTTCCTCTTCCTCTTCCCCCCCTTCTCTTTTTGCCTTTATAATTTCACATTATGTTGTTCTTTACGTGTCCTTTCTCTTTGTCATGATGTGTATCTTTATGTTTTCTCTTTCTCTTCTCCTTTTCCTTGTCCTCCTCTATTTCTCTCATTCTCCTCATTTTTCTCTAGTTGTCTTCTTTTTTTGTTCCTGCATCTCTGTCTCTTTCTGTCTTCATTTATTCTTTGTCTCATTATATATATCGTATTTATCTGTCTATCTCTCTCTCTCTCTCTGTTTGTCCATTTTTCTCCCTTTGTCTCTTTCTCTGTTTCTCACCTGCTCTGTTTCTCACCTTGTGTCACTCTCTTTTTCTCCCTTGTTCTCTTTCTCTCTTTCTCACCTTTATGTCTTTCTCTCTTTATTTATTTCTTTGTTTCTGTCTTTCTCTCTCTCTCTCTCTCTCTCGCTCTACCTTTCTTTGCCCAGCCCACGAAAGTGAATCATGGAGTGGCACGGCGCAAAAGTGTGTTTAAGTGTGGAACGCGGATTCTGGAAAAACGCCTAAGCGAGGGTCCGTTGCAAAAATGCGGTGTGTCAAGATTGCGCTCCTGCATCCAAGGTGCAAGCCAGCAGTTGGGCTTAGCCCTTCAACAACCATTGCCTTGTAAACGATACGAGCTCCCCATGAAAAAGGAGCCTCCCAATCCCAAGGCCAACACCTGGGATTGGACTCCGGACTGCTTTCCCATTTGGAGCACATCCCATGGTTCGCGGGTCCTTCAGCAAATTGGCCTCTGAGTCTGGCCAGGAGTCCGTGGAGCCGGGGCCTTTCCTCTTCCAGAGCCAAGAGGCCCTGGCGGAAGCCAAGCGCCTCAAGGCGGAGGCGCTCTGGAGCGAGGGGTGGGGTGGGGGGGAGCTGAGGCGGAGGGAAAACGCGCAGGCCCCATCCATGCGTGAGGAAAAACTATTGGTCCCCCAGGAGTGCCCTTTGACCCTTTTTTGGGGGAGGGTTCCCCTGCTAAAATAGACTACAGAAAAAAGGGTACCCTTATTCCAACCTCTCCACTGGAGGACCTATAAAACGTTGATGGTTGGCGGTTTTTGGACGTTTGGACCGTGTTTAGAGTTGGCTCAAGCGCCTTGAATAGGTAGGATCTTGCCGGCACAGAACCTGTGGTCTCGTGAATCACTTTGGGCATCGTGGATGGAGCGGGGGAAAGGGGCATTTCACCAATTCGGCACCACATGTCCGCTGCTTCGTACGATTGTGTACCCCCAAGAGTTTGAAGAAATGCTTTAAACTTCCAGTCCTGCAGCCTAGGAATGGTTTCTTCATGATGCTCACAATGAATATACTTCTCGAGGGCTGCTCATGCTGCACAATTTGCAGCGTTGCCTTCAACAATCCCTGGGTAATGGTCACATGCGATCACCTTACAACAGCTGTTGCTGGATCGCATTTGACATATTGATGAATAGAGGCAACATGCAGCGTGCGAGAGGGAAGCAGCCAGGCCGAAGCAGCACAAGGTAAGAAGAAGAAGGATGACAAGGCCAGAGTTTACGCCGTAGAGTCAGCTACTCCTGCATTGCAGTTCATCTTATTCGGCGGATTCAGTGAGCTGCAAGTCCAGCCCTGATATGCCCTCGCGCATCCAATTATGATGTTCCGTCCCACCGCAATGTCATATTATTTGATTGCACGGCATGCATCAACGGCTTGCTTCGTTCTGCTTTCTGACATTGGTGCGCTTGTCCCAATTGCCCCAATGAGTCGAGACTCCTTCCTGTTGTTTCCCGGCTTTGGGTTGTGCATGCCTTCGTTCTGAGGCGGCTTGAAGTGTCAGTCATAATGACGAGCTATCTTGCTTGAGGTAATGCTGAGCTGAGGCCGCAAATGGTTCAATGGCTTGAGATTCGTATGTAAGCAAACCGTGGATCCCTTGCGTCATACTATCAAGTAGGACCATCTTTGACATTGTTGAACCCCCAAAGGTCGTGGTTTCATGGTGATTGGCAAATTGCCGGCCAGTGAAACGCCAGGAGGATTCCAGGCCTGCCTCCATCGATCCGCCAGCAGCAGTGTGCCGCATCGCGCGGCCCTGCAAAAGCCCTGCTGAGAGGCCACAGGGAAGCTGGCATGTGAATCGCGCAGTCAGACACGACGGCAAACATGCGGGCTGTATGGCAGGAGCAGGTGCCACGTCCAGATCTGATAAACTACTTCGATTAGAGCTTGGCCTTGCACCATGAGTGCCGAGTTTGGATCCTGTTGCACCCTGCCGCGGCAAAGCTTAGAAGGGGATACCACCAGTGCTTGAGACCCGACCAGCATGCAAGGAAGACAGGCAAAGCTGTCCTGCTCGCCTGACTCAGCTGGAAGACATCAGCTGGCTTGTGTCTGTAGGCAGCGCCTGCTGGACCAATTGTGCGGGCCCTTGCGCCTAAAGCTGCTGCGTAACGCGGACATGGTGCTGGGGGAGGCTGGGCAGGAGTGCCACATGCAACCTGCAGGGGCGCGGCATGTCTTGCGGGGTTCACGTGCGACTCGCAGGCACAGCACGGACATAGGCAGGCAACTTATACTGCCCATTGTTTGCACCGCAAGTCAACGTCAAAAATCCACCTGGAACCTGCAAAGCAAAAGTAACTTGACCCACAATCCTCAGGAGGTACTTGGACCATCTGGGTGAGCTTCTGGGGGGCTTTTGCCAGGTTTGCTTTTGGCACGGCACACGGTAGGCGTCGCTGGACCTCACATCGCTGATCCACGACACCGCCAGCCTCGAGGTGTCGTTGGAGCTGCGGTGGTCGGAGGCGCACGGCGTCGGACGGTGAGCCGTTTTTCGCTGACGGGAGTGCGGTTTCTGCCATTTGCGGCACGTTTGCCTGATGAAGGAACGCTTCTGAACATGGGTGTGGCTCATTTTTTTACAGGAGGGGTTACGCAGGTTTTGGTCCATGTTTCCACTTACCAGGGTTCCTCGCCAGACACTTGCGCTTTGCCCTCGACTTTGCTTCGGGCATTAGCTGAACCAGGCTTTGTTCACCAAGTGGCTTCAACCCCTTGGTTTCTTCGAGTGGCTTCCCATGGGAAACTTCGTCCAGGGGGCACGTTCACTTTTGAACTGAAGTGTGCTGACCATCACTCTTGGATGGTATACTCCTGCCAGACATGGTGTCTGCCAAAAACGGGGCCCCTCTATGGATCTTTTTGGGGGGTTCCATGAGAGGAAAAAATTGCCAACTTCTTTTGGGCTTTGTAGCCCCACCCCCCGCGGGCGCCGCGAAGGCCCTGCTGGCTGAGCTGCAGGCAGACTTCGAGGCGCGGCTGGCAGCGGAGAAGGCGGAGAAGGCGGAGGCGGAGGACGCGGACCCAGAGGTCGTGGAGGAGGCGCCGTCCCCGATCTGCGGAGTTTGGGGGGGGGGGAGGGGGGGGGGAGAGGGGGGCAGAGGGGGGGCGGCTTTCCGATTGAAGCGAGAAATAGATGCTGCGGTGCTAAGGGGGGGCGGGGGTCTGCTTTGAGTCAGGGGGCTGGAGATGTTCTTTATGAGTCCATCGGTTGAGAAGCGGAAGCCAATGGATTGCAGACCTGGGATCGTGCAATTTGACCCTGGCTGCACACCTAGCCTGCAAGCCATAAAGTAAGGTTCTTGCCACCAAATGTCAATTCATATGATGGCCGCAATCTTGCAAGCACAGCATTAAAAAAACAACTGATGCCGCATGCCAAAGTCGGGCATCCCACAGCTCCAAATTGTAGAATACTGGAACCCCCCCAGCACCAGTCCTTCCGTTTGGTTGGCGGAATTTTGCCTCCAAAAACCGCAATCCGCCAGGAGGCTCCCAGCTTCACGCCCCCCGCGCCGGGCCACGTTCTGCTGAAGATCTCCACCGCGGCGCCGCTGGGCCGGATTTTGTGCCCGGAGGACCTCCATGACTGGGCGGTGCTCTCGGCACCTCGGCGCGAAACGACGGCATGGTTGTTCTGGGGAAACTGCTTGTTGTTTTTGTTTTTACATGTTTGCTTATTTATTTTGGTTGTAGTGGCAAATCCCCACTTAACCGAAAAACATATATTTGTTTGCTCCCCTTCCAACGCAAACCAAGAAGGCCCAAAGGGCTCCTAGCGTATCTAGAAGTTCAAAGACCTGGCGGGAAACCAGTGGTGGGTATGTGAAGTTTTAAATTGCTTTTTGAATGCAAAAGCATCTCTGCGCTTTGGACCATTTTGTTTGATACTTAGCCAATCACCATCGCCAACCCCAAATCATCATGGGAAACATGGTCCAAGGAAAGTTTGAGCATTTGCTCTAAGAACCCTTCATGGGCCCTCGAGGGGCTCTATGAAGCCGATGCAGTTAGAGACCAAGGGAAGCTCAGCTGTGTTGGGCGGGTTCTCCACTGAGGAGAATCAGCCCCAAGAATGTGTCCCTCTTTTCTGCCAGGGTTTCTGGGCTGGGACCATGTCAGCCGGCAGGTGAGCATTGATGGCATGTACCGCCTGCCGCAGAAGCTGCTGGAGGCTGGCGGGCCACTGCCGGAACCTGGCACTGCCGAGGGCCCGCTGGAGACCCACCCCTTCCGCAGCTTGGACAACCTGCCGCCGGAGGGTCAGGTCGCAGCGTTTTCCGCGACTTCCTGTGAGTGATGTTTTTGCATTGTGGTGATCTCTGTTTGATCCAGTCTGCAAACGCATGGGTTGGCTGAACAAATTTGGTGCCCTTCCCCGAACGCATAGGTCCGTACAGTACGCAGCAGCTTGGAGCTTTGCTAGGGGACCCCTAGCTGAGGCTAAGATGCGTTTTCTTGGAAAAGTTTGCACACTGCCCGAGGGCAGAATCTTGTATAGGAGAGTTGCAGGGCAACAGCGCCCCAGCGCTTTGCATCGGTCTCAAGAGGTAGATGCCCTCCTTTTCAGGATCGTTCAGGATGCCTGGTAGGCATCATTTTTTGCAAACAGTTACGGAAAAGAGTGTGGTTTTTCTTCAGCCTGTCATTGGCTGATTGCACGTGATTCGCGGCGATCAGGCTACTCTGCCCGAGTCCTGGGCTCCGATTTCAACCTGGGGCAGCTAGTGCTTCCGCACGTGGACGTGCCAGAGCCCACGGAGGAAGAAGGCGGGCGTGTCTTTTTTGGGAAAGTACCCTTTTGGTGATTTGGGAAGGGGGGGGGAAAGGGGTGAGACAAGCCTGCTTTTCTTGCAGACAATGTGCTTGAGGTGTATGTTATTGGTTGACCATGGGCCAGATGCACGCTGGCGCTTGGGTGGGCAACAGTGATCCGAAAGATGGTTTCGCTTGAATGCTCTTCAAATGGTATCAGCCCCATTGCCTTGAGATTTGATCGCTTGGCTAGCGGTAGCCCAAGGCCCAAGCCAACCTTTGCCCAAGCGCCGGCGTGGCAAGAAGAGCAGGCCACAGATGCACACTGAAGGCGTTGGGATCAGCTCCCAGGTTCAAGTTCCGAGCAGCCAACATGGGTGAATCAAATTAGTGGACGATGGTGACCATGGCCAAACAATATAACTTTCCAAGAACTAGGAAGGACGGGCTAGACAAGTAACCCGCCATGCATTATGCCTATGTCAGGCCAGGCCGAAGTGACATTATCCCCTGCCTGGTCCACGAATGTATTCTAAAAACCACCCAGCTGCAAGCGCCCTGTTTCTTCAGAAGGAGTCGCAAGTGCGTTTCAACCGTTGGATTTAGATAGGGACCCCCTCCCCATCTAAACGCTGTCCACCAAGCGGTCCCTAAATTAGAAATCATGCCCTACCGTGTCCACGTTTCGGCGCTCATGATTGCCTGCCGGTCGAAGCGGACCGTTTCCAGGTTCCCCGCCGGAGCCAGACAGCCCCACCTCGCCGGAGCCGGACATCTCCTTCGACATCGGCACAGAGGAATTCACAGAGAGCCTCATGCGCGCAGGCTTCCCGGCGGCCAAGGCGGGGCCAGAGGCCGCATTTCGGGGTCGAAATAGGGGACCCCAAATGGGTGGTGTCCTTTGTTGGTGTGCCTTTGAGCCAACCCCAAGAAAGGGGCCCACATAAAAACGCGCAGATTTCTGCCGGTGATGGGAGGCATGGTGCGAAGACGATGTACTGCCATAGTTGGAGAGAGGGATGTGGAAGGATGTTACAGAGTACGTATTTGGGTGAGCGACCGGGCGGGTGGGTGGGTGCGTGAGTCAGTGAGTGCGTGCGTGGGTGAGTGGGTGGGTGAGTCACTGAGTCACTGAGTCAGTGAGTGAGTCAGTAAGTGAGTCAGTGAGTCAGTGAGTCCGTGAGTCAGTGAGTCAGTGATTGAGTGTCATATTAATATTGGCTGACAAGTGCTTGTCGTCAATGTGAGCTCGAGCTGTCGATGACGCTCTCCAGTTCTCGCTTAGTTGCTTTTCTTGTTCGCCATCACGATGCCAAGACCTTGTGGATAAGCTGCTCGCACGTCACACACACACACACAACATGCACATGGCAACTGGGAAGGCCTGCTACTCTGTGTTGTAGGCAGCATGTTCCAGTCCTCAGATTCGATTGCAGGTTCCGCACTCTTCTTTTGAAGGCAGAGGGTCCCCTGAATTTTGTCACGTTTCATATTATGCTGGGCGCCTCTTCGGTTATGCCCTTTTGCAAGTCAGACAGGAGCGGGGTCGCCCATCAAACTGTTGCTTCTTGGGCTTCTCCTATACTGAGAGTCCATTCGACAGGTTTATGAGATCATTTGCGGGCACCTAAGGAGAAACTACAAAGTGATGAACATGCCGCATCAAACGTTCAACGGTTCCCGTGCCAGGTGGACGGCCCTGCGGCGTTCAACTTCCTTTGTCGGCCCCGCACGGGCCTGGGTGGCCGCATCGGCCTCCAGGACTTTCTGCGCCTCTTAGAGATCTCGGTGCCGCTCAGCTGGCGGTCTTGGGATTCGGGATGCGCGTGTCAGGTTGGGTCGAAACGAGTTGCTTGAGCTTTGTTTGCAGTTGCTCCTTGTTCTTTTCCGGAAGGAATGTTGAAATATGCATTGCTGAAATGGGAAGGAGCACCATATCAGCAGGCAGCAGCATATATAATATACAGTGCAGGGATGCCGAGAGAGAGAGAGAGAGAGAGAGAGAGAGAGAGAGAGAGAGAGAGCGAGAGAGAGACAGCGAGAGAGAGAGAGCGAGAGCAGGGGAGTTCCTGCTACGCTAAAGGCATGCACGGGTCCCGGCGAGCCTGACCTGTGCCAGCAACGGGCCAAGGCCAGCGTCAACTGAAAGGCTGCTTGAGCTTTACGACAAGCTCGTCGAGAAGCATGAGAGCATCGAGACTGCTGCTTGTTCTTGCATGCCGAATGCCCCCGTTCATACCGGGGATTCCAAAACCTCAGCTATACAAGGGAACGTATAGGCCAACAAGTGACCTGACCCTTCCGGCAGTACAGGTAGTGTGCGTGGAATGCAGGCATGGGCAGTCCGCCAACCAGGGAAACCCATCTATTTCCAACCTAAAAGGACACCTATGGCCACTGGCAGAGGGCGATGGGCTCGGCCAAGTCCTCGCGCTCGCCGCTCGAGGCCTTCAACGCCCTGGATGCGAACCTAGAGGGCGCCTTGACCCAGGAAGCCTTCTCTGCGGGCCTGGAGGCCGGGGGCCACAAGGCAGTAAGGCCATAGATTTTGATTGATGGTAGGGAAAGGAACCTGCTTGTTGCATGCTTTTTGAGGCCTAGGGCATGTGTCCCTCTCAAGTTGGGAATGACAACATTTCAGCGGCCGTCAAAGCTCCACAAGTCTTGACCTGCAATCCCAATCCCAGAGCCCTCTCGCACGAGCTTCCAAGCAGACGAAAGCTAGAGGCAAACAGAACTCACTTCCTGAGTTCATGAACTTTAAACTTTTTGGGACGGCCATTTTAGTGGCAAATCTAAAGTTTGGACTTTTCTGGATTTTCCATCCACCCAACCAGTGAGAAAAAGAAGGGGTTGTTGGCCACGTCCCTTCTGCTGCCAGGAGTTGGGCCTGGAAGATGTGGAGCCCCTCTTCGTGGCCTTGGACTCCAGCCGCCAAGGCTACATCACCCGCGAGGATTTCCGCAGCTCGGATTCCATTTTGGCGGGCATTTTTAATTGGCGCCAGCTGTGATACCAAACGAATCCATGCGAAGTTTCAGGTTTCAGTGCAAAAACCCAAAGGAATCCATGTGATTCTCGGTCGGGTTCTTTGGTTGTCCCGTTCCACTTTTCCTTTTCCGTCTTTGGGTCCTGGCTGTTTGATTCTCGGTGAAGTTTCAGTGCAAAAACGGGCGTGGTTCATTTTGGTATTGCAAGGGTCGAGATCAGGGGCAGCGGCCAACCTGGAACTGGTTGACCCACTGCGTGCTGTGACGGGCACATGCGATGCTCTCCACAGCAGCCTTAAGTTGAGGAGGTACTAGCTGTGACAGCTTGTGGGTCAGAGTGCGGCCGTATTGATCAGCTTCAGTATTCTATCATATTGCCTAGTGTGAACCGCCCAATATCTTCGTGCTTTATCCGGAATAGTCTGTCCAACTCGGCCCAACTAACCACGGGACCTCCATTCTCCCGAGCTGCGCCAGACTCGGCCGTCCGGACATCGGTGTAAAACCGGCTGCCAAGGAATCCTCAGCATGACAAAGCGCATGAAGGATTTGGAGCTGGCCTCCACAGCGGTGCGTTGGCTGGTGACAGCTGCAGGCTCATTGCCAGCACTGCTGGAGCAGGCGGGGCCGCTGGGCATCTTAGAGGACAAGAACTGCAAGTTTTTGGGGGTAGATTCAGTGCATTTGGTTTGTGGACAGGCCAAATTTGTAACTAAAGACCTGCGAGCCTGGTTGGTGCCAACATTCGCTTGAATCCTGGGACAACTGATGCTGATCATGTCGGCAGCTTATTTTGACTTCTGGATGGCGGCCCCTCGACGTGCTTTTGATTGAGGGTGAAAGGTCCCTCACTTCTGGATGTTTTTGAATTCGGGTTGGTGAATGATGGCAATTAGTGCAGGTTAAACGCAGCTGATACAGTAACCAGTGACCAAGCTGGGCTGGTGCTGCCAACATCCCACTTGTCCCTTCTTGGGAGAAGCTGATTCCGCCACTTCTGCCATGTTCTTCTGGCATGTTTGAGGCATCGTCACCCTTTTCCCACGCACAGCTTGGTGAAGTTCGCCCTTTTTTGTTTTTCACGGTGCATCTGAGCTGAGCTCCAGGTGGACGAGCAGAAGCAGGGCAGCGTCACTCTGCAGGACTTCCTCTCCGCGGCCACGCGGCTGGGCTTTCCAGAGGCGAGCGCCCCAGGCCGCGAGCGCCGGGCGCCGGTGGGCGGTCCGCGTGTCGGTGAGTCTGCCGGACGCCAAGGATTACGGGTGAAATATAGAAGGCTACACCAAAACAAAGCGCGCAGCATGCTTCAATAAAGGGTGGGTAAGGTGAACCCTCATTTTGCTCCACAAACCTGGTGCTTTATGCGGGAAGGGTGTCACAATCAGACTAGACAGGGAGGAGAGGAAAGCATGACTACCATACATTGCACATGGGCCCACGAGGTAACAAGTTGCAGGATTGAACATCACATTTGGTAACTCGATAGCTGATGAAAATTGGTGAAATGGGCGACCTTTATAGTTCTGTTCATCGGGAGCTGAGACTCCAACCCGCATCATACATGCCGTCTAATATGTTCCAAGATGTCGTTCAAGTTCTGAGCGTGCCAGCGCTAGGCATTGTGCAAGTGAGACACTGAGACACTCAAGGATTGATGCAATGAGCAGGCCCTTTTGGGCTGCGCGGCGTGTCTGACTAGACATGCTGGCAAGGACCCCGAGTGATTGTTGTTTCCCGAAGTTTGGCAGGTGTGTTTCCCTAATGCAAAGCGCACCTGGTGCAGACTAAGCCCACCCAGAATCAACTGCACTCCGCCGATCCAATAGCCCTAGGCCACTGCCGGCCTTTATCCCCCGTGTCCGAATCTGCTGGCCTCATTATTTTACCATGACCAAAGTCACCCCCCCAAGTGGTGGGTTAAGGGGAACAACCGATTCCATTGACTTTGACCCCCAACTGTCAAAAGACTCAGAGTGGGAGGCCTGGAAGTCGCCTTCGGCTTTGCGCAGCTGGCGGAGCTGGCGGAGGAAGCCGAGCGCCTCAGCCACAGAGCCTTTCTGTCGCTGAAGGCCCTGGAGGCGGACGTGCCCAGCGCCCTCGTGAAGCTCGAGGAGGGCGAATCAAAAACGGCTTCGAAGGTCAGATCCGAAGGGTTCCAAAAAGGCGCCGGTGAATGACGAGTTATGATTTCTTGTTGCTTCTTCTTCTTCTTCTTAGTGTTTTTGTGTTTCAAAACAAAAACGTCCTGTTTTTTGTTCATTCCCTTGGCGCTCAGTGCAAAAACGGTCCAACTCGCGAAGGAGCTGCTCTTCCATGACTCAGCGGACCCGGCCTTGCAGACTTTGAGCCGCGCGGAGAGCATCAGCTTCCTGGAATTCCAAACAGGCCGGGCACACGGGAAAACCCAATTCACAGGCCGGGCATGGAACCAGAAGAGGGTTGAAGTTGGATGGGCTGGGAACGATTGGGGTGAGGGGCCGGCTTTAAAAGACGCCCGCTTGCCCATCACCATACGGAGGCCCCTGCGGAAGCAAAGTTGGGTTGATGTAGGGGCTGCTTGCCATCCAACTAGTTGCTTTTTGTCGAGTTAAGCCGATTTTGCCCACCTTGCCATTGCCCGATATGCAGGCAGCAAGGCATGAAGCTCAATGCTCTTATGTAGCATGTTGTATCACAAAACCTCAACACGTCCACAAGTTGTGTAATAGCCGTCTTTCAGGGTAGGTTGGCGACCTCACCTCAGGGCGTCAGGGTCCAGACATCAATCATGCCGAGCGCATACGGCTGCCAGAGATGACGAAAAGGCGAAAGGCAACAAAGAAGCAGAGAAGCAAAGCTCGGAGAGCATTTCCTGTCAGGCCTCCAGGGAGCACCTCTTGAGCCGCAGGCATGGCGGGTTGGCGGGTTGGCAGATTGGCGCGGGTTACCAGGTCGGGCGTGGGTGAGAACATTGAGGCATAGTTGAGTTTGGGGAAGTAACCCATGACTTGGCATTGGCAAGCCTTGAAACATAAGACTTTGGAAACCCCTTCTGCCTTAGGGTGAGCAATACGTTTTCGTGAGCAAACGGCCCGATGGCACAATGCGGATGAGACGGCGTTCGTGCCGCCCATGAGCCAAAGCAAATTGTGAGGCGTTCCACATCTAAAAGCAACCGGCGGATTCACTGACCTCTTTCGGACATGACGTTCACGTTGCTCTTCATTTGTTCGTCTGGCCTTCCTGAAAAGTGTGCCGTGGGTTCCAAACTCATCAATACGCATGTATGAAAAACACTCGTTGTCTGCCCCCAGCCCAACTGCAAGGGAAATGGGTCCAAGTACCTGAGGATGGCTAATGGGTCCAAGTACCTGAGGATGGCTTCTGCGGGCTAAAAAGGGGTCTAAGTACCTCCTTAGAAGGTGCTTGGACCCTGTGCACTAAGCCAAGCATTTCGTGGACAGGTCTCGCGTGTCACGTGCGCCTCGCTCGCTAGGCGCTTTTCTTCGTCTTGGACTCGGGTGCTGGAACCCTGGGGGCGCCTGCCTTTGCCTCGGTGCAGGCGGGTCGTCGGGAAGTGAGCCAGGGGTCAACAGCCCATCTTTCAAGCCCCATAAATAGAATGGTTGACCCAGTTTAGATCCCTGGGTTCAAACGAAAGCTAGGGGCACACCAACAAACAAGCAAGCCTTAGGGTTCAACTGTTCAACCCCCATTGAATGAGATGTTGACCCAATTTGGATGATGACAATCCTTGGATGGTGGCTTGAACCCCAGGGAACATGGTCCAAAACGGCAAGATGTCATTTGGTGTAATATCTCAAACGAAAATTGGCAGGTTGGTTTGTGAACAAGCCCTCCTGTTCCTGTCACTTTCTTTACTTGATAAAGTTGGCATGGCCGTGGATGTTGCACGCCGCCCGCCTGGGTGTCAGGGGTGTTGATTGTTTGGCAGTGCGCGCGCTAGATGAACAGACCCAGTGTTGGGTAGGCAGGGGGGACCGTGCGTTTGTTGTAGGTTGTCTGTTGTCGGCATCCCTTTCATGTGATCTATCGTGCTCGATTTGCACGAGGTTCCCATGAATAAGAGCATGGGCGGCAGCGCATTTGCCGCCAGAAGCAACAGCAGAACAACGAACCCTTCAACAAAAGCTTATTTTCCATCCCCGCACCCTTTTACTTTGCAGGATTTGGGTTGCTCCAACCATCAGTGTCTCAACTTGGATTGTGAGGGGACTGTGTTGTGGAGCTATGTGTTCTGACCTCTTTCGAACTGTCATTTCATTTGCGAAGCCCAATGGGTGCGTTGTAGCTTGTGGCTTGCTGTTCGCATTTCAAACCTGTTTTCCTTTCCTGGGTTTCATGTTTGAAGCACAGCTTTCGCACAGTTTTTCCAGCCAGCCATGGCAAACCGTTAGTTTCTGGCCATCACGGCAGTGTGTGCAGAAGGTATCGCAGTCCTGTTCATCGAAATAATTTGGACTTCTGACTATTGACAGGACTGCCAAGCGCTCGAATGGATTCATGGGAAGGTTTGCAATCATACTTGATCATACTGCGAGTATGCAAGAAGGCTGATCCACTGCCTCCTTTCATGATCAGCAAACACTTATGACTTATTGAAACATATACATATACTATATATAAGAGATATATACATTTATCTTATATATATATATGTATGTATGTATAGATTATGTGTGAATGCTATCCGGGGCGTACCGCCGGATGCCAGCTGCCCCCGCTTAGATGGCTTAGTCCAGGCAGTGAATGCGGCGGCTCAGTTGCGACGATTAGCCAACTGCCGGCGCTTTGTGGAGAACGGTTTCGGTGCCATTGACGCCAATGCCTTCCGGGCCCTTTTCGCTACCTGCCCAAATGTATGCGTGTGTGTGTGGGTGTTTGTGTTTGTGTTTGTGTCTGTGTTTGTGTTTGTGTGTGTGTGTTTGTTTTTATGAGGCTTCGCGCTTGGGGGGTTGACTGGAAGGGAAACACAAGGAAACCACTCAGTGTTTTGGGGTCTCCCTGTTTTGACACATGCCTAGATATACTGCTCGCATCTCGAGCGCTTATGTAAAGATGTGGTCAGAATATCCCAAAAAGGTAGATTTCGCTGTGAAACGAGATGTCCCCGCACAAATCAACGAGATCAGAACGAGATAGTGTTGCAGAAAATCATGTGAAACGATCTAAAACAGGATCAAGACTTGGTCACATCTGTGAATGCAGACCCGCAAAAGGCAACAAGTCGAAACGAATCGAAACGAGTCCAAAACGAGTCCGCAGCGAGTGTCAGGGCTTTGCATGCTGCACGTGCAGCGGGCAAGCACGATGTTCGAGTTGGAGCTGCCAAAGCGAGCTTCGCGTACTACACTTGCTCGCAAAAGTTGAGAGTTGAGTTTAGGTGGAGGTGTCAAAGCGCATGTTGCACACCCAGCTTGTACTGAACACGTGCTGTTTGCGGCTTGAAAGTGTAGAAAGAGAAAGGCACTGCAAAACGAGACGGTTCTTCCTTGATTTGCTTCGACTTTGTTTAGCGAGCCCAGCGAGTCCAAAACGAGATCAAGCCAATGTTGGCTTTGCGGAGGACAAGAGAATGTGAGAGCTGCTAACGGCGTCTAGTTCTTGGCTTTCCCATTCCGCACTCAACGTCCACGGTAAATCCAGCATCCTATGAATCAAGCGCTCAGCGAAGCAATGTTTGCTTGGAAAGTTCTTTCTTATCCCCAAACAGCTGACCACTAGTAGGCTTAGCGAATCATGGTGACGTTCAGTGGGTGTAGTTTTCAGTAGCTCTTCGGTGAAGGACCATACCTGTCCCAGCTTGAGATTATGTCGCCTTGACCAAAGGCCTGCATGTCTCCTGGGGCTTTTGATGGAGGCAGCTCCGGCCCCCCGAGCCGAGGAGCAGGGCGACGAGTTCGAGGCTGAGGAGACCCTGCCAAGGGTTTCATGGCCGAAAGCAGAGGTCAGATCCTACAGGGGCCGGCAGTGGCTGCAACGATTGCTGAATACACTGCAGGAATCTTGGCAAAAAGCGGAGGTGTGCATTTCGATTTGGCATTTGTTGGCAAGCACCTGTGAGATGTGCCAAATTTCCGTGCCTTGTGAGATGTTGGTTCTGGTGCGTGGGACGGCCTCAGCGGGCCTAGGGCAGAGAGTCTGCCACCCTGAACACGGAGCTTTTGCTTTGGCTTGGTCTCGGACTGTGTGCTTTGTTCTTTTCTAGTATGCTGCGCTAGGATGACTAGGTCCCCCCGGTAGTGCCCTTTTACCCCTTTTTGGGGGAGGGTTCCCCTACTAAAATAGACTACAGAAAGAAAAGGTGCCCTTAGTCTAACCTCTCTACTGGAGGACCTGGATGAACAATGACTGTAGTCAGGCAGCAACCTGGAGCTGAGGGGTCCTGTAGTTGATAATGGCGTGGCCCTTTGATGTCATTCAAGTCTTGGCAGACGAACTCGGATAGGTGTAGTGGCGGGCCGTGGCGAGTGGCCCCTTTCAACGGTCAGCGAAGCATTCGATCGGGTGCCAGCGCGGACCAGCCATGACCAGCCCAGGATGACAGAGGGCGGAACCTCATGGAAAGGAATCCAGGCAGCCAATCTGGCGGAGCTTGGCTTTATTTGTTCCCAGTCTTGGAGGCGGGATGTGGAGAGAGCATTTGCTGTGCGCCAGGGCTCGGAATGCTAGATAGTGGGGTGATCCCTGTGTGCAAGGCCCCTAAAGCCTTTGCGCACTCGGCCTTGAGCCGGAAACATTCCTTCCAAGAATCGTTCAGGTCGAAGGTCGTTGGAGTTCCTGCTCCTTAAAAGAGCGGGGCCGGCGAGCCACTACAGTAATGTTTTCTGTGTTTAGTAAGCCTGCCTGACGATTGCCCATTTGTACATGCATGATGCCCAACACAACCATGAGGTGGGTGGCTTGTTTACTCAAAGCCATGTGTTGTTGCCAGGAATCCGCCTGAGCTTTGAAAAGTATGGCCTGTTCGTTCGTGTGCAGGGCCAAAGCACCGCCAGCGACTTCAAGGAGTTGCCAGATGCGCAGGTGGGTATCGAGGATAGTCAGGGCGGCCAGTAAACAAGAATCGAGTCATTGGCAGTTTGGTTCCAAGTATGTTTCACCCTCCTAGGCAAAAGGGCTGCCTTTCGGGGGGGAGCCGATCAATTCCAACTGCATTATTATATGTTTTTTTGCTAAAGCTCCTTGGCACACAGCTATGCATAAGGTGAGCTGAGCAATTGGCCACGCGTTGATTTCTGGGGGAACGTGGGTTGAGAAGGGGTGATTCTAACACATCGCATTCTTTGAGGATGGCTGTGGCAATTGACTTGGAAATGCTGGATTACGTGTGGCCCCTTGCTATCCTGGGCTTGCCCATGATTTCCGAAGAAGGAGCTTGCAGCGGGCCACCCTTTGCAACATTGTTGAAATTCTGCCTTACCACGGCAGGCTGAAAATAAGGCTTGCTCAATGAGCAATCCCGTGGAGGGATCTCAATGCTATCGTTTGTCGAGCGTGATCCATCACCTTTGTCGACGGTTTGGGCTGAATGACTTTCCTCACTTTTTCTCGTTCTCGGGCGCTTAGAATGTTGAACACGGCAGGCCCCAAAAGCGCGCTGAAGCGCCAGCATCCCAAGCTTCTTCTGTTTTACCAAGAGCCTCAACTCTTCCGGACCTCAGCCAGCATCACTCCAATTGCATGGCTTCCGACCTGTCCACACATATGTCGAAGTTTGCCTGGTTTGCCTGGCTTCGGCAAATGTGCTGCAAACCTTTGCCCCTTCTTCCAGCACATTCCAGCACTCGTTTCAACACCTATCCGTGTTTGATGAAGAGTTTATATCCCATGCTGAAGGGATGCCCGACGGTGTTATTGAAAGACTAGGGTGTTGCCTGGGTATTGCCCGATTGGTCCAGGATCATGTCAATGTGGTGGTTTCATGGTGAACATATGCCTGCTTCCGCAGGTTGTGTTCTGGATCAATGCCTTTGTTTCCAGGCACGGAAACCAGCTGCTCCATGCAGGAAAGTATCATTTTGCCAAGGGATGTTAGGACTTTCACTTGTTGCCTGGGCTTTCCGTATTAAACCTCCAAAAGATAGTCACGTTTAGCAGGGGAGCAGATTTCGCAACCGAGTGTAGCTGAAATTTCGTGCACCCAGAGGGTCCAAGTACCTTCTAAGGAGGTGCTTAGACCCCTTTTTACCCCCCAGAAACCATCCTCAGGAGGTACTTGGCCCTTCCAGGGCAGGAAAGTATGTAGGCAATCTGATCGGAGAGGTGGGCATGGCCAAGCTGGCGCGGTGGCACCACGCCCGTGCCTTTTTGGATCTCCGGCGGCTGGTGGCGCCCGGCGCTGACGCTCGGCGGGCGGCGTAGGCAGCGGGCTGTGAGCGCACCACTCTGATCAGGTTGGACAACATCCAAGCGTTTCTGGGTGGGTGACCAGGAAAAATCCAAGGGCAAGCCCTGCACAAAGGACAGCCTTGGTCCTGTTTGCCGAGGTTTGCCGCTAGTTTCCACTTCAGCCGAGGAAGTGGAATTCAGGGCGTACCTGACCCAAGTGGAAGCGCAGCCGCAGGGAGACTTCGAGGCAGATTGGACGCCGTACAGAGCCTGCGAGACCTATATCAAGGGCATCATCCGCTTGGACCGACCTCTACAGCGCTTGTGCCCCAGGCAGGGTAGGACCGGCCATTTATCAAAGCATCAAGTTTAACAGGGAGGGTTGTGCCGCACCCCGCAACTTTTTGGACAGCACAGGGGTCTTTTGAACGTGGGCAAAAGTAGTCATTGGAAAGTGGTTGGCATGCGTTTGGATGTGCAGGGACGTCCGCCTTCCCATGCAGCCGTCGGGGGAGCCCTACATCCCCCCACCGCCGGCTAAGCGGCCCCCACCCACAGTGAACGAAGAGCTCGAGAAGGAAGCGGCGAAGATCATCGGTCGCCTCTCTTTCGACTTCGCCAGGTGGTGCTGCTGGGCCGAAGTTGAGTCAGATGCGGGGCAGCTCTGTGGTTGATCGTTTAGTTGTTGTTCGAGCCTGGGGCTTTTCCATTTTTCCAGGCTCTAATTACATGTCGGGTCTACCTGCTGGCACTTGAATGCAAGTGCTGGCCAGGGCTTTACCATACAAAACCTGAAACTTGCAGAATGGTCAGCTGGCAGATCAAGTTGTCAAGGCCAGCGATGGCTATTGCATGGCCATCGCCTGCCCAGGCCACGACTCAGGCTTCACCGAGGACAAGGACGCGGGCCCGCCAGCTCTGGGCAAGAAAGGCGTGAAGCGCCACGCCTTCCTGCAATGGCTCCAGGAGCCTCAAAAAGTGCCGGGGATGGCCATGGTTTTGGCACTCCCGTATTTTTGTGTCGTGCTAAGTGGATCTAAGTGGCTGATGTTTTTCTGTGACCCGTCAAACCAAGCATTGGTTGGAGACGCCTGCCTTTGTGCCACGCGTGGGCGTGGGCGAGGCCCGGCCTCAGGAGAGCGACGTGCTGAAGGACCTGGGGGATTTGCTGCGCCCGGCCGTGGTGCGCCTCGTCCGCGCGGAGAAGAGCGGCCCCGCCTGCGGCCTCAGCGGCAACGAGAACGACGCCAAGTACTCCTACCTCAGGCCAGGCATCTCAGGAGCCGAGGTAACAAGGAAGACATGCCATGGAGGCCTCGGAAAAAACGGTGAAACGATGCACATCTTTGGTTGACAACCTCTCTACATAATGGATAGGGTTGACTTCATGCTGAACATGCAAACTTGTATGGGTTTGAGGTTTTGCTTTGTGTTGCAGCAGGATCTTTCTACTGCGGCATGAATTGAAATACTGTGATCTGTCGCCTAGTGATGCTGAAGAAGCTTTTCCTCAAGATTCCAAATTGAATCTCCGTTTGTTGTAGTATTGCTTTAGTATTGCTGGAGCTTTTGGCTGAGGCCGCAATGACGATGTTGATGCGATTCCGGGTTGCAGCTATTCTCCGTGAACAGTCTTGCACACCTTGCTGAATCCTTTCTGATTACACTATCTTAGGGACCCTTTGAAATGAAGCCGGGAGTTTCTGCCTGTTGTTTTTGCTTTTCCCGATGAACTTTGAAGCCGCTTGTTGAACCCAGGTGGGGAAACTAACAGTTGGGCTCCAGCTTCAACAGCTGACGTGGGGACGAAGGGGGTTACCCAGGAGATCTTTAAGGCCACTCCCCTTTTCAGATCCAACCTGGGGCGCCCTTTGGATTTTTTTTGGCAATCCTGATGAGTCCTGGAGCCGGGACCACAGAAACCACCTCCCCGAATTCATTCCCCCCGCGGCCGGGGGGCGCGCGCGCGCGCGCCTGCGCGCGTTGTTCAGGGACTACATCTCGAAGCACCTCTTCCGAGCCTTGAACTCAGAGGTGGAGCAGCACCGACAGCTGCGGGACGAGCGGCTCTGGCGCCTCAACGCGCAGGATGCTGAGGAGCCCCGTCCCACTCTTTTCTAAAGCTTGTTGCTTTTTGTTTGCTTTTTTAGCAAGAAGCCGCGCCTTTCTTTTCCTCTTCCCTGTGTTGGGTGGTTTTCCGGGGAGACGGATCCTTGGAAAGACCACTAGCAGTGGGAGTTGGAAAGGTGGCAGCCAAGGAAGGCTTCCGTAAAAAGCAAAGTATCAGACGCGTGGCCCTGAATTCCGGACAAGCCATCCTTGGGTTCTCGGTTCCTCTGGGGTTACAGAGGATGAGCAGAAGGGTTGAAGCGGGCCCCGTGAATGCTTCATAAATCGGTGCACCTCAAGGAGCTTTCGGGGTTGCAATCGGACTTGTTGGCCACCCTTTTCTGTGCAACGTAGCTGTTGCGCGCGTCTGTGTGGGTGACTGCATGTGGCCAAACGTGCAGAAGAAAATGGCAAAGCCATGCTGGCTGCCTGACCTGCAGAGATTGCAGGTCCTTTTGTGTTTCGCGCAATGATCACATATACTGTGGCCATTGTGCAGGAGACTTGGCAAGCACAAGATGCAACCCTCAAGCGACTTACGATCGAATATGAGCTCCTGGGCAACTGGCGGCGTGCTCTGCGCCACGCTTGGAGTGTGCAGGATGCGAGGGGGTTTATGACTTGGCCTGCCCGCCTTTGCCCCAGGAGCACATACCACAACCCTTAAGCAAACGACTGGATTTCTGTTCGACCAAACTTACCACAAAACCGCACGGTGGTGTCGCTGTTGTCGGTAAATGCTCTGCAGGTGCGTGTCTTTCAGAGTTGGTCTCCGAAGGCAGTTGGCCAACCGCCTTCGTTCGTCCGTCCGGTCTACACCAGGAGGTCGCTTGTACAGGAAAATGGTCTTCCCGCCCCCGATGTGAGGCTCCATATGGATAAACCCCCGTGGCCCTATGACCTCCGCCCCGCTCGTTGACATTTGTGTCGCCAGGCGCCCGCGAGGTCTACGAGGAATGGCTGTTCCTGGAGCCCAACGTGGAAAACGGCCAGGTCAGTGGCCCCGATTTCTGGGGGGGTGACGGGTCATGCCCTGTAGCCATCACTTGAGACACCTTTTTTACATGTCCATTGAGCTAGGCATCAATGAGGCCCTTGGATGTAATGCGTTGTGGTGCATTTACAGTTTTCAGGAAACCCCGATCAGCCCCAGCAAAGCATACGTTGCCATGTGCGCAGCATCGTGGCACTCGCATGGTTGAAATTGTATGGTGTGAAGGACTTGAGGCATTACAGCAGAGAACGCCCCAAGGCAATGTTTGACCAAGATGTTTCAGCCGCTCACCCCAGTTGGTGGGAGTTGGCTGTTCCAAGCTGGGAGGGAAGGGAGTAGCCTTGTTTGTTCCATGTGTGCTACAGAAGTGCTAACGAACCCTATCGCTATCGGTTTACAACCCTTGTGCTACATGTGATTCGTAGCATGAGTCTTTAGCAGCTGTGATTTCATGACTGCAAGTCATGGGTGGCCGCGCATTTGCAGGCTGTCCAACAAATAGAGCCATAGACTTGAAGCACTAATGTAGTCACGGAAAGCCACAAGAACAGCCTGCTGCTCAGACTGAAAACGGCATGTGGCAACAAGACTTGACTTTTTGCTTGCCCGCCAGGCCTGGTTCGGCTGCTTGCCGGCATATCGGCCTTTCCTCTTCCCTTGGGTCATGCAACAGGCACGCTGAGGATGCCCTCCCGCGACTTAGCAATTCGCACCGGGGGTGCCGGCTGCTCTTTATGATGAGTTGCTTTGCAGCTTGATGCAAGAGCAACCATGACGACAAGTATGAGCAAGCATCATCCTTGACTGCTATTGGGTTGGATTTTTAGACTTTAACTTTTTGGGAAATCAAGGAGTTTCCCACAAAACCCACAAACAGTTAAACTTTCTGCAGAGAGGTCAACGACAACAAAGCATCCGAAAGAAAGTCGCTTGATCTGGTGGGGCTCAGGCTTTGCGCGCTTCTTGATGCGCAGCTGCCTCAGACACGAGTTACGCTTCATGAGTCATCGCGAGCGAGCATGTCAAGGAGCAACGGGTCTGCCCCATCGCTCTCTATTGTTTATGCCCCCTTATTGCCCCGAATTGTTGGAAGGTTTGCCACCAAAGATCCAAGCTCAGGATGTGAGCAGAGCCAGCTCGATGCAGAAAGAGTCCTGCGCTATGCCATTTCATTGAGGCTGGACATGTGCAACATGCTGCAGTGGGGTACTCCGGGCCTTTGATCAGTGACAATGACGGTGGGCCTCTCACATCATGTGGCATGTGACTTCGGTTCATGGTATTATGCATTCAGCTGTTTGGTCATAGCTGCTGCCATTTGCTTGTCCCAGAAGGCCGCAACAGCCAAACAAAACGGCTTGCTGCAGAGAGTCTCCTTGCTGGAACAGCATGCTCAAACACCCTGGGCAGGACAGAAGAAGCTGGACCTGACTTTCAAGAGGCAGGTCGCACGGAAAGAGATGTGGGAGACAGGGGACTTGGCAGGATTCCAGGACATGCTTGCCAATGTACAAGGGCTGAGTGAAGCGTTGCATGATGTTTGTTCATTGCGTTCACTCAGGGCACACTGGCAAACTAAGTCAAGGAACGTGCTGTTCTGCCCGTTCCAGCTACGCAGAGAAAAATGTACAATACCCATGGCACCAGCAGGCTGAGAAATCAGTCACTGCCCAAACTCTCCCATCTTGATGTCATAACCTTGGGTGTCCATAGTTGCCTTAGCAACAAACGCCAAACTCTTTAGCACAGGACTCCTTGATCGAAGGCACCCACAATTGATACATTCAATCCAGCGGCTGCAGAAACGAGGGCTGCTTCAAGTTGCGGCCGGTGAAGGTTGCCTTTTTGGCTGGCATCCTGATCAACCATCGGCTGCCCTCCTCCATGGATGAAGGGCCCAGGCGCGGTGGGGGTGGGCGGCTGAAGACCTTGAAAGCACAACATGGACGCTGTGTGAAGCAGACTGCCAGGTGTTTTTGCGCGTGGGGCGTCGCATGTATTTGCCGCCGATTTGTGCGTTGCCTTTCAGCCCTCTTCTGGGTTTCTTGATGCTGGTGTTTCTCATGATGGTTTGCATTTCTTGCTGCAGAGGTGGTTCAACATCAAGTACAGCAGCCAGTTTCCCGAATCCAAATCACATTGCGGTCCACCAAATGAACTCCAACTGAAGGTAAGTTAAGCCGTGCGGCCTCCTTTGCCGCCCTCGCGCCCCCCATCTGCCAGGTCCGCACGCTTCGAGGCGGCCCTGGCTATGATGGAGTCATACGCGGATAGGCCGTGGCCGAGAGCGCTGCTTGTTTAGTTGGCCAATGCTCCCGAACTTGTGAATGGGAGGCAGAGGCCTCAGGGTGCGGTTTGTGGTAGGCACCCTGACTCCTAATGGGTGTGTAGAAGGGAATGGTGCATCCCGTGATTATTCAATCCTCGTCATAAGAACGCGAACAGCAGGTAGAGGTGGCGCCGGAGTGTCAAAACGAGAACTCGTATCGTATGGTGCCTTAGGCTGTAATTTGAGCAAGTACCGGAGCATGGCCTGGTTCTTGACGCAATTGATTCCTGCTGCCCATGGTGTTCAAACAGCAGCATGGCTCTAGAATCTGGGCTGCCTGATTCCCTTGTTGCAAATGGCTGGCTCAGACTAGTGCAAGGAGGAAAGCGGCTCTGACGCAGTATGTGTTGTTTGCCGTGCAAGACTCTGCCAGCTTTGTTATTATGGTCACGTGTTTTTCCATTATTAATCTATATTTTTTTTGGGTGATACCTCTTGGAGAAAATCTAATCGCCCGTTCTGTTTCAACTTCTCAAGAAGGCCGTTGGCCCAGGTGAATTGCAAGCCGCACAGTGTTTGCTGATGACTCCCGCCCCATTCTGCCGCCGGCCACTCTCACGGTCCATCCTATTTTTGGCTGTGCTTGCCTGCGTGGTGCTTGCCTGCGTGCAGGCATACGCGTGCGCGTGTGCCTGTGTTTGTGTCTATCTTAGTGCCTCTGTGTCTGTAGCATCCCAGTTTCAGTTGCAACAACGTGCTAACAGTTGACAGCAGGGCTCAGCCAGCTCACTCGTCCGTGAGGGTGAAGGCCTATTTTACGGCGATGTGCCAGGCATGCCTTGGAGCGCTTGCCTTTGTACATGATCTTCTTGATCTTCGCAGTGGAGGTGCGTTTTGCTCAGAAGGCACAGGTAAACGCCTCTTCCTAGTATTGCACCCACCCCTATCAATAAATATATTTCTTCGGGCCAAGATTAAGATCAACAAAGACATCCCCTTGTTACTTTGGATTGACCAAATACCAAACCAACACCAACCTTCAGACAGCCCTCATCAGGGAGTGCTTTCAGCACTTCTTTTCTTAAACTGCTACCCACCAACATCATGAAAACAGGAGGCCCGGAAAGATTCAATCTTGTAGTAAAGAACATTAGTATCAAAAAGGGTGTTAAAACCAAATACCGATAAGGGGCCTGCCTTTTCTGGACTTTCCCATCCGCAATCCTGCTTGGCAACAGCTGTTTGTCCCTCTCTCGAGGAAAAACATTTAGTAAAAGTCTTCAGCTCAAATTTCACTGCTGCATTTCTACTCTCAAGGGGCCAGCTGGACATTTCCCTAGAGAAAAAACGGTGATCCCTGGGACCCTACTCTTCATTTTGGTCTTTTCCCTAAAAAGGGAAGATTTATGAATAGGGGAGGGTGGGTCCTGGAAGCGATGACAGCTGGCTTGCAGCCCCGTCTTTTGGTTCTGGGGTACTGGCCATTTATGCAAGAGGCACACGGAGCAAGAACACTGTAATACCTCTATGCGACGAAGCGACTGCTTGGCCCACAACCCCCAAAACACTGTATGCCAACAAGGCGTGTGCATGACGATGGGCGCAACAGGCGGTAACAGCTGGCGAATGGTTGCAACCCGCCCAGCGGAATCAAGGTTTCAATCACCGCACTGCTCCAGCATAGTGGCATGCCGCAACACCCTTCTTGGAACCGGTTGGCAGGCACGGGTCCTGCGGCAGGCAGTCCAGACCCCAGAGCATGTGCGGAGTTGGATGGTGCTGGGTTCCAGGGAAAGATTTGAGAGGTTCTCAGAATTACTTCCAATCCAGTTGCCACCCTGCACACCCCAACTTGGTTTTGCCTGCTCATTTCCAGAGATGATGCTGGATGAGGCTGAAGGAGTGTCGAATGTTGAAACAAGCCCCACGGGTCAGTTGTACATTGCCGAAAGTCTGAGTGCTAGGATGCTTCCTTCTCCCGCTATCCCTGAAAAGCATGCTCGTCCAGATCTACAGTCACGGTCTGGACTTCCGGCCCTTTCACTCTCCTATTTGATCTCCCCGGTCCTGCTTGACCCTGGAGGCTCAAGCAATTGACTTTGAGGCACGCGGAATGAGTTGTGCTTGTTTGGTTGCGATGTTTGGATTGGTATATTTGCTTGCTGGCCTGCCTTCCATCACCTTGCATCCGAGGCCGAAAATCCTTCGGAGGCTCAAGCCAAGGAAGCTGGGCTCGCAGAGCAAGGCGATCGACTGGCCGCGGAGGCTGGACACCTGTCAGAAGCTTGCGCCTGGCAGACGTGCTAGCTCATGTGCCTCGGAGATTGCCGAGATTTACATCGGATTTGCGGCATTGGCCCACGTATGTCGAAACCTTGCAAGGATTCCCACTGGAATCGGACACCACATACATCAAATAACCATGGGCAACTTACTAATCCTGGGTTTCCACTATGACACAAATTTATTGCTCATCGATATCCATCCGACATTTAGTGTTCCATGGACCTGCCAAAGGTCATTTTTTCTATTGGGTATTGCATTGCAGAAAAGTTGATTCATCCATGTTTCCCATGAATGTGCAACATTGCGCTGACGCGCCTGAACACTTATACTGATCACATTTTGGCTGCATGTTGGCTGCTAGCTGAGTGTATGTTGCCGGGATTTCCTCACAAAAGCAAAGTCGCTGCCATGCCACGGTGAGTTGAACATGCCAGCCATGTAGGTGTCTCAAAGGATTTGGCAGGGCTGGCAGCAATTTCTGTGCTGGCCTGTGCCACATCCGTTCGGCAGGCTGCAAAATACCTGGAGCTTGCCAGAGCAGCGCCAGAGTCGTGGCTAGGCGAGGAAGCTGCAGACTGATAGGAGCCGATATGTCGCGCATGATTTTGACAGGCTGCCTGCGTTTCTTCGAGGGTGTGCGCAAATAATTGGTCTCTGGAGAGTAAGGGTTTGTCATCCCTCCACAAATTAGCCTCAACTTCAAATGCACGTAGGTTGTGCTTGCTACGACCGACCAGGGCCGAAGCAACAGTCCGACACAACAGTCAGCGACGATGCTTGAGTTGGCTTGACGTGCCATGCTGCAAGCTGCATCCACCAAAAACAGCTTTGTAGTCGGTTCCATTGCTCGCGCAGCTCAAGGCACAGTCAAGCCACTCCAAAGTGTATTGATGGCCACCAGGCACTCTGGATGCTGGAGGGGAGCCCGTCTTCCCGGAGTTGGAGGTGTGATCTGCGGTTTTTTGCCTTGCGCTTGCTTAAGGTGGGTAATGAGCCCCCGCCCCGCATGTTTGCCACTAGTAAGTTTATAGCGTTTGGTTCGAAATGCAAAGCTTGCAGACCAATCGCGTCATAGCTTGCATCGCAAGATGGGTGTTTTCGGCTGTCATCCATTGGCATTGCTTGGTGGACTGCTTTTGTGCTTTGCTTGCCTGTCACTTGCATTTGGCAGCGGTGCTTGCAAAACATGAGTGGCTGGATGCCCCCTCATCTTCCGCAGCTTCACCTGTTCATTGTCGCTTTGTGACCTTTGCATCGTTGTTGCTTGTGTTTTTGTGTGTCCTGTTGTGTTTGTGATTCTCCCTTGCAGGACTTAGCTCTTCATGTGTGTAAAGATGCACTCTGGGCGCTGACCTAATGAGACCTCCTTGATTTACATATTGTAGCTGCAGGCTCGGGCTTGAACTCGGGGTGCCATGCGTTGTGAAGCGACATATGTTTACGACAATGGTCTGGCAAATGAGCCACTGCAACTCCAGTTGGTGCGTTTAGGTGGTCCTTGCTTCGTTGGTTGCAGTTTGCCCGTGTCTGGCGACTGGAAAGCCTTGATCAGCCAAGCGTCCTGACTGCTGACGCCCATTTCTTTGGCCAGGCCTTGGTGACCCAGGAGAAGGTGAATCGTGGCCAGGCCTTGGAGGCCACGCGGGCCATGTGCGCACACAAGTCAGCCTCAAATTATATCAAAGAGCACTCTAGTACAGGTGTCTCGGTTGTGTCTGGATTTGGGGTTTGTCTGTTGAAAACGATGTGGGACTTACAAAACACATCAAGAAAACACGCACCTCATGGAGTTGCGGCACGGTAGCGCGTGGTCCAGCTATAAGTGCACAGAGGATGGTTGCACAAGCTGACAAATTTAAATGTGGAGTCGGCGGCACGAAAGTCCGCAGAAATGAAGATCGCAAAAGCGCGTGTTTTTAGTAGTAGCAGCAGCAGCAGCAGCAGTAGTAGTAGTAGTAGCCAGCCACCACTACTGCTGCTGCTACTACTACCACCGCCACCAACTACTGCTACCACATACTGAATACTGCTTACTACCTGCTACCCACCAGCGATGACGGGACCGGATTCCTTCGCATGTGGAGTCTGACGGCAATGTTGACAGACCATGTAACCCCAGTAAATGGAAGGCGGCGGCTGCGCGTGTGAGTTTTCACGCGCCGGCCCCACTGTGCGCCCCAAAGCTTGCACAGCTTGTCGCAAGTGGCAGGCCACAAGGCCTCATGCCCTTGACAGGCACCAAAGGAGAGCCCCGCCATGCCAGCGGCGGCTTGGCGTGGAGAATTCTTCGAGGGCACGGTGGCTGGGAGCTGCACGCAGTGCATCCAAACGTCGATGTGGGCATGCGCTGTTGGGTTGTCTCCGCTTCAGCGTTTCCTTCTCACGGCGCGTGAATTGCGCGGCCTATTGTTGCCACTTGCAATATGCCGCGCCTTTTTCAATGCCTGGTGTTCGTTCAATGTTTGGCTTTCGGATCAGGATTCCTCAACCCTGCTGGCGTGCAGAAGGGGCATTCAATAGCTCCTCCCACCAAATATACCATGGATGAGTGGCAGTCGGACCAGTGTCGGACCAGGCCAACAGGTTGACAGCACCCTAAAAAACAGAAAACGAGAACAACACCGCGCAATGGTTGCGTCCTGCGGTCCACGGGCATAGCGGCGAGTTTTCTGCTAAGGCCTGGCTTCCCACGGCAGCTCCGCCCTTCCCGGACCCTGCCTCTTTGCACGCCGCGCCCGAAGCCGAAGACGCCGGGCAGCCCAAAACGGCCCGGAAAGACCCCGGAGCCTCGCTTCCCAATACCCCCTTCCAGCTAACAATAAAACGCGGCCCACCCTCGACAATAATACATTCCCAGGTAAAACTTGCTTGCAAATAAGGTATGTTCTTGTTTTGCGGGATCCTGGCGCGGGTAGTCATCTCCTGCTTTGCCCTTTGTCCGACCCTTTCCAGGCCCAAACAAGTCGTCAGGAGGCAGAGTTTCAAAACAGAAATCTAGACTTGTTTTTGGGGATGGTCAATTCTCTTTGAATGGTTTTTGTGTCCAGGATCTTTGTGCGGGGATGGGTATCAACAACTTGGCGCAAGCTGAGGCGGCCGCTTTGGAAGCGGTGGATTTTTTGCTTCACTTCGGTCTCGCGGACTTGGCGAGCTTCCTGCTGACGCATGCCGTGGAGGCCGGGCCGAGCGTTCAGTTGAGGGGATGAGAATGACTCGGCCAGTCCGGGCCAACCCAAGAGATCAGGGTTGTGGAATCAAGGGGTTTATCCAACCACTTCTGTGATACAAGGGAATCTCCCCCTGTACATGGGGGGTTAGTCTTTGAGAAGCCCTTTTTGTTGTATCACAGAAGTGGTCATTTCCCACAGCCCTGCAAGAGATCGTTGACACCCAATCCAAGTCAAGAAGTAGTCCTTTCAAGTGGACGCTCCAAGGGGACTTTTGGGCCTTGCGAGGCCTATGGCTTCTTGTCGCCTGCGACAGCAATGTCAGAGCGCTGTCGCCTGCAGCTGGTCAAAGCAGCCATGCTGTCGAAGGACACCAGCTGCACTAGGTAGATTTATCATGATGTATCTGCACGGATGTGTGCTGTCCAGGGTAGCAAGGCAGGTACAAAAGACCCAGCTGGTGGACTAGCACGAGCAGTTCCGTATTGACGGGGAGACAGCCTTGGCATGCAGTATATTACTCAGTATAGATCCTCTAGTCACCATGCTTGCGTTCATGGGTTCACCAAAGAGGAATCACCCGACATGTACTGCCACAACCTTGCAGGACTGGGAACAAGCCGAGTCTTTGCTGAGTGACCTCTTCAGCCGCCGAGGCACTTGAGGGCAGCCTCGCCAAGCACCCTTTTCATGCCAAACGAGAGTTGCGTCATGGGAAGGCCCTGCGCAAGCAAAACGCTGCACCGTGTAAGCCGGCATGCAACATGCCGCGAAAGCGCCCGAGTAAGCTCTGTCTCGTGACTGTTTGCAAACAGTTGTTGAATGCCAGAGGCTTGGGCGTTGGATTTCCAAACAGGGTTGCTGCGCAGCAGATTCCACAAAACTAAGGCAACAAGAAGCTGGTTTTGACGAACTATGTTTCAACACGTGTCGAGTGGATGCGCTCAGTAGCCAAACAGTCAAATTGCTTCTTGCAAGCCGGGAAGCTGTGTGAAGCTTCCTTTTGCGCGCAAGAGGTCCCACCATTTTGATCGCTACGCGCAAAGCTGAGCATCTAAGTGGGTTGATCACAGGGCAACCCTGCAATCTTCAGTTGCATGGCATTTGGTACACTAAATGAAGGTAACAAAGCCGTTCAAACAAGACCACCTTGGACATGGGGGATCCCTTGCGTATGAACTACCGTCATGGCGACTATCACACTCAGAGGGTCCAAGTACCTGAGGATGGCTTCTGGGGGGTAATGAGAGTCTAAGTACCTGCCCAGAAGGTACTTGGAGCCTCTGGGACAGGCTTGGGGTGGCAGCCGTCTTAGGATCTTGCCCATTCCAGGCGGCGACCGCCTGCCAGAGGCACACTCCCTGCTGGGCGAGTGTCGCTTCCAGGCGGCCTGCGCCGGCGCAGGCGACCGACCGCAACGCGGCCTTCGTTTCGGGAGTGGAGCTATGGACGGTGCTTTCAAAGCACTGAGCTATGGGAAACCAGCGGAGTCTAGCGCTAGCGGTTGTTTCTTTTTTTTTGGGAAGCCGGAATCAGAATGATTGGGGCTTTGCAAAATGGGCAATGGATTCACGTGATTCACAATACCCGCCGAAATGGCAACGTGAGCCGACGGCTCAAAAGCCATGCAAGCTGCATGGCGCCCTGGAGATCCGTGCACCCCGAAACGGCTCCATGCGTTGTTCACTGACTGAGGCACCTGTAGAATGAGGGCCAGCACTGACAGACGAGCCCAATAGCAACCTTCTACGAAAACGGGTTGATTCTCCGAAACACCTGTGACTTCCCAGACCAAGAGCACACCAAAAGCAACTTCCCACACCAATACCAGGCCATGTCCATGTCCAAATACCGGACAACCACTACCGCACCATGTCCCATGTCCGGATGCGTCCCGACTTTTTAGGTCGGACGTCGCGGCAGCTCGTCGGATGAGCCATGGCCCAGCAAGCAAGGGCGCGACAGCTGGCGCTGCTGGCTCAAGGCCATGGCCCAGAGATGTGCCTCGGACGGTGCTGTGCCGACTGTTTTTGGTGGGAGGGAGGGCGGGGAGGGGGGGGGGAATTATTGGCTAAAAACATGTTTTCCTGAATTGTGTTTGGGGGGGTTGTATCATTGGCTCAAAAGAGGTGGTTTTTCTTTTTCTGAGCTGTGTGGGTAAATTATTGGCTGATGTTTGTTTCTTTCTGAATCGTGTTAGGGGGGGTTGTTCGAATTTAAACGATTTGTGAGCCAAGAAGATTGCCCAAACGAAGCGGTGCTGTGGGGTAGTGGCTGTGGATGAAAATAACTGGTAAGTTTGGCGACAAAACAAGCAATGCTTGCGCTTTGCTTTCGTCGTGTTGCACTGTTGTGAGACGGTCTTTTCAGCGACACACCTGTCCTGTCTTAGCAACACGGCGCGCAGCCTAACCTGAAATCAGCACAGAGCACCTGCTGAGCTTCGAATCACGGAATTGACATGTCTTATGTGGAAAGCCTCTGCGCCGCATGCCTGGTTTGCTTTTTTTCGTCCCTAACGTACAGCCTTAATGGCTTTCCTGCCAAAGCACACAACTAAGGACTCACCAGGGGCTGGGTACAGACTGTCAGCGTTGGTCCGCAACACAGCTAGCGGAGGATCCGGAAATTTGGCCACTTGGCATGTGTTTGTTTTAGTTGTTGTTTTTATTTGGGGGGGGTTCTAAATGTTGAGGCTGCTTCTTGTCAGAGTCTTTTGGCTCCATGCAAGCGAGCCGTTTGGAAGCCGTAAAACGCAGTTTGAGCCCAAATGAGGCAAATGAGTCTATGGGCTGCATAGCGTGCTGCGCACCAAGCTGAGTGCCTGTTTTTTCAAGTACATGTTTGAGCAAGAAACCCAGTGCAACCAACTGATGACCCTGCTTGAAATATAATTTGCTGCCCATGCCGGATCATTCAACCGACTTGACTTCTGTCCAGGATTACCTGAGCGGATGTCTGCCTGACACAGCTTTCCCCCAATAGTTTGCAACGTTGGAAGCAACTGGAATGACCAGACCGCTTTCTCCCAATGGAAACCGTCTGCGCAAGCTGCAATTCCCCGACCAAGTAATTCCCCGCAAAGCAAAGAGCCCCAAGTTCGCGAGGCTGGGAGGTGTGGAGGACGCCTTAGACTTCCAGAGTCTCCGGGAGAAGGGCATCGGCGCCATTTTGAACCTTGCTCTGTCAGGCTGCCTTTACTCCCTGGCCTGCCGGTCGGAGGCGTTCGACTTCACAGCCGCCGGGTATGAGGAGATGCGCGCACTGCCGGCTGATCAACGGTATACATTCTGAGCTTGGAACCACCCAAGTATGTTAGTACTGGCAGGGACTGTGTGGTTGAGTTGATTCAAAAGTGAATTAGGATGTTCAACACCAGCTTGCACTCCGGGTTCGGCTGCATACAGCTAGTTTGGCACACAGAAGCCGATGGGATAGCTTGAACCTTTTAGGATTTGGTCATCCTAATCTAGTAGAAAATGGCATTCATTTCTGGGTTACCTTTTGCTCGTGGAATGGATTCAGCTTGTGTTTGGGAGCTTTACAGGTCAGCGAGCTTGGCAGGTGCTGCTGTCGCCAGGTTGCTCTTGAATGCAGAGACTCTGGAATGCATCTCTTCAACTGCGAACGGATCAGATAATCTAGTGAATTCCCCTTAGCTTAGGGCATTTTCTCCATTCAAAAAGCATGTTTGAGTTTCTGAGCAGCATTTTTTTTCATTTTCAGTTTGCGGCCAAGAGATGTGGTTTGCATCGCCAGGAGCAGCTTCAGAGAGACGTCCTGTACCTGGCCCTGGACGCAGCCGACCATCCGCAATACCCCATTGCGGAACACTTCGAGGAATGCAACGACTTCCTTCGCCAGTGCGGTCGGGAAGGTCGGAAGGCCATGGAATCCATTCCGCTCGCGGTGACGGCAGAGACAGGTTGCACACTTGTGGCGAGATATGATCTGGCGTGTTGGGGTGGTGTTGTTTACTCGTCACCCGCATCAGCGTCAAACATGCGTCTCTAGGCAGGCGATACACTGAGATCATGTTGGTGATAGATGCTTGGGTCTCGTTTTCTTGGTGCTAGGCCGTCGGCCAATGATGTTGATTGCCCCTCTCGGGGGCTCGCATTTTCTCTCTTGCTTGTTGTTTCATTTTGCTGCGCTCTCGCATTCGCAAGGCACAGCAAGTCCGAGCAGTTTCTTCCGCTTGGCAGGTCTTGGTGCACTGCGTGGCCGGTATGAACCGCGCCCCCTGCATTTGCGCCGCCTTCCTGCTGGCCCAAAGGCGCCCTGATCCAAAAGCCTTGGACGAGGTGGTGGCCTGGATGTCAAGCCGCAGGCGGAACCACTCGAACAAGACGCGACGAGGTACCAGCAGCAAGCAAGCAAGGCTTCGGCCAAAGCAGAGTAGTTCCCTAGTCAATGTGTCCTTCTTCAATGTTAACCAAATATTTGCTTACCTTTAGTCTTTGAGAATGTGACTGAGCTTGACTCGGAGCATGCAACACAGAAGACAGCCATGGTCCAACGCTGGGCTCTGAGCTTTCTCATGAGCAAACCCAGTTCACCGGCACCCTCTAAATCAGGGGTTTGGTTTACCAGGTTCCTCAAGTTCCAGTCAACCCAAAAATGGCGCATGTTTGGGTAACTCAACGGGTTGACTCTAGCTGTTGGGAACCTTTGTTTGGGTAACTCCCCGTCTGGGTCACTCGGGGATAGGCCCGGGATCTTTCAGAACCTGGGCTTCCTCCGGCAGCTGGCCGCCCTGGAGCCAAAGACCCCGAAAGTCGCGGCCGGGGCGATGGTGCAGCTGGAGCTGGGCCCGGTGAAGGACGCGACATCGGAATGCAAAGTCAAGCAGTGTGGCTTGGTTTTGTTTGCTTGCTTGGTTCCTTGTTCTTTGGTTCTTTGGTTCCTTGGTTCCTTAGTTCCTTTGGTCCTTTTTTTCTTGTTTTTTGGTTTCTTGTTTCCTTGGTTCTGTGACCAGTAGCCGCGCTTAGGGAAGGTTCCATTGCAGGGCAATCGCGGACAAGTGGATTCCCAAAAAGTGACCTTGGCCCGCACCCAGTCTTAGTCAACATGTGCAACCTCATGAGGGTATGGCATGCGCAAACGGATGGAGCGAATGAAAAAAGCGGGGAACAAACCGGAAGCTGGAACAAAATGCATTATAATTCTAACACTTTGTCCCACCTCTTGGAACTTGGAACCGTTCACTCCCATTTGTGAGTCAACGGTTGGCCACGTGCTTCTTCACTCTGTTCCTAGGCCGCATTATTTTATGTTGGTTAAGTATCTTCATTCTCCACTCATTTGCATAGAGATGCAGAGAATTACAGATCCTTAAAGTTCTGTCTGTCCGTCGCTTCTAAAATCTTCGGAAATCCGCAGGTGAGAGAGGGCAAGAAGGGAATCTTGAGCGAACCGTTTGTCTCATCCGATCTCCCTGAGTACATGCAATGTAGCATAGAATGGGAGACGAACCTTCTCTCTTCTCATGGCTGTTGACGAAGATATGGACCCTGCCATGCAAGGAGAGATGCCTTTCTTTTCATCCTGATATGGGAAGGGGCAGGGAACAAGTGAAGGACGGCTCGTCATCCAGATGCAGCGGTGCTTGCTGGAATTACATGCCATTCCGTACAAGCATCAACGCTTCCTCATGTTTTCTCTTTCACTCCCTACCTGTCCATTCTTGAGGAATGATTAGGTGAGAAGGGGAGGAGAGGAGAAGGAAACTATTATGTAGTAGTTACTGTATTGTTGTCTTTCTACTTTTCTATTAGTATTCCTTTGCCTGGAGAGGATCCACTTAAGACCCGATAAAGATCCATCATATTTGGAGACATCAAATGCCCGAGGGACGAAAAACGGGCAAGTACAGGAATGGCAAATCATATCTTGGAAACAGAGGTTGGGTCATTACATCTCTTCGCCTATGTTGTTCCAGAGTCGTTCTTTCTCACCAGCCATGTGATTTCCGAGATTTTGAGTTACAACAAATTCCCGTGGTTGAAAGGTATTTCCCACCTCTTGTTTTGCCACAAGAGGACATTGCAAGAGATCTTACCCACCATCCGCCCGTCATCTGACATCCGATGTTATTATAATCGTTGATGCAGCTCCTATGACTCGTATGTTGAATCACAGACGCAGCTCCTCGTTTGGCAGATGTTCAAACGTCAACCTCAGATTGTGAAACACATTCGCACAGTTTGCATACGGTGATTTCACCTGGAGGCGAGGGTTTCTTAGATTCAGGTTTGGAATTACGTCAACTGTTGCGCGCTGTTTCGTTTGTGCTTAGGGGCCTCAGCACAGCATGATTTGGTTGAGATGGCCACCCCAGCTTCAGAAGGTGCTTGATGCAGATGTCGCTCTGAAGTCAGCTTGGTTTTCCTGTCCCTGGCCCCAAGCCAGGAGCGAAGCGCTTTACAGCCGGCAGCGCCGGTGGCAAGCTCCCGCCCAGTGTCGCGGTTCAAAGCCAGCCGACAGGAAAGAGAGATAGAGACCTGAGATGTGAGTGATTCTGGATTGTGCCCAAAGATGTGAACGGCTTTTCGTGGCTTGCGAAGGGCGCCTTCCTTTGGGATATGTCTGTACGCGAGTGCAACCAAGCAACCTTGTTCCAAAGGCAGTCAGAACTCATGACCATTAGTTGGATGTTCTGGGGGTTTATGTCACACAGTTGGTGCAACAATGAAAGGCGGGTCATACATTGTGAGTATGCTTCATGTCTGCAGCACGGGAGCATTCTTTGGACCACTTCGCCTCAGCCGCTCTTTGGTCCAGTGCAAGATGGCCGCTGGAACAGCAGTCGCCTTCATGCTAAAGAGCTTGGAGCCAAAGAGATGCTGATCCGCGGAGAGAAACAAACATGAACCGGAGGTCCGTGCCGCTTTACGGATTGCTGCAAAGAGATGATGCTGACCCGGAGAGGAAAATAAGAAGCATGAAGAGGAGGTTCTTGATGCTTTCAAGTCGTGCTGAACTTTCTTGTTCTGTGGGTCCAGGTCTCGGCCTTCGCAGAGTCAAATCTTGAGAATCACAAGTAACAGAGTTGCATGCTCATTGCTTTGGGGCCATTGGATGGGCAGATCGGAAGCGTGGTATGCTTTTTGCTTCTTGCACTCACTTGGGAATGAGTGTCAACTAGGCACTTTTGGTTCACTCACGTACAGCAAAACTTGTAGCAAGGATGGAACGGGTTTCCAGAGTACAAATGTGTTCGCCACAGCCCATATATGCCACTGCCTACTGGGGGCAAATCAATCGGAACTTCCATTAGATGCAAATCCTTGAATCGTCTATCTTCAGTCTGCGGAGTGAAGCTGGCCACCCATTGCAAAATGAGCCTTTGGCCAGGTGCGAGCTACAGCTCCGCGCTTGCAGCTTTTGAGACGGCGCTTGCCTTTATGGAGGACTGGCAACTTTCAGTCTGATTGACCTGGCGCCAGCATGTTTGTCCGTGGTATGCCATGCGCTTGCTTTATTGGCATTCCCGATGGCAGTCCTGGGTGAGTAAGTTGCTGCAAGGACACCTTTTTTTTGCGATGTGCAAAACCAAATGAACACATCAAAGCAAAGTCGCAGTTGCTGCATCACGATCTTGGTCAGAGCATGTATGTACCCGCCTGTTGTGAAGGCCCGCTGCCCGCACCATCCGCATCGCACAGGACACAGGGGCCTCCCCGAAAGAGGACCCAGTGCTTCACCTTCGAGCCACTCGACAAACGAAACGCTGCCGGCGGAGCCGGTGCAGGCGCTCCTCTTGGAAAACCCTATAGGCATTCTCAAATTGCAAGGGACTGGTGGACTGCATCCCAATCCGTTAGCCTCGTTTGCCTGTCCATCCAACATGGTTCTGGCCGTGTACCAGTTAGCCTCAGCGACTCTTGATCCCACTGGCATGACTGGTGGCTGAAAAGCTGCCTGAGGGGGGTACATGGTGTGAACCGGAAGGCGCCTCTCGCCGCTCCTAGCGCCAGAGCCAACCCTACTTTTGACCTAGCCAGTAGAAAGCTGAGATTCCAGTTCGGGCATTGCACGCAGCTTGCCATGCCCTCATCCCTCCAAACAGCGGATGCCACAGCCATTTCAGCACTGGAGAGAGACGTTTGCCTGTGACCATTCTAGACTCATGCTCTCCCACCTGCTGCAATGGTTTCTCTCTCTCAAGGTGTTGCAGCAGATGGCAGAGACCTTGTAACAAGTTCTGAATAGTCCCCCACAAACAACAGAAAGCCAAAAGAAACAAGCCGATGGTGTCCCCAAACCTTGTTTGCCAAGGTCGGACGGATATTGCACCTTCAAGCTGAGGACCACATGCGCACAGAGCATCTCAAGACGGGCTCCCCTTTTCCTCCTCGACTTGGTTGTTAACTAAATCATAGCTGTGCTTGCAGCTATATCGAAAAAAGAGTGAAACCTCACCCAAACATGCACTGCTTGGAGGATGGCATTTGGTTTCGCCTGCTTGTGCCTTTTCAGGACGGTGACTTCAAGGATGCTGCAATTGCCGAGCGCCGCTTGGCAAGCGTGGGCCGTTGAGAGGGCCAGGTTGTGCAAATTGACCAAGGGCCATGCCCGATAGTTGCAAAGTTTCTGGTGGAAAGCGATAAGCAACATTCAACTCAACCAATCCCAAGCAAGGACCACCGTTTTCCGGCCTCAAAGACTTTAGGGCCTCAGTCTGACAACTGCAGCCACCTGGCCATGCGAGCGAGGCGCAGTGAAGCACTACAAGAAGTCAGTCATGGTGTCTCCAACCGCGGAGGCATGGAAGAATATTGGCTACTTGGCACAGCAAGCTGGGGGAGGGCAGTGGACATCAGTCTTAGGTTTTGACAGCCCCGGGCCAGTGGGTAGTGGGTTCCAACATCTGAAAGAGCTAGGCCTATTGTCTGACTTGCTCGGCCAAAGCATCCGTTTTCCTTGGGCAGAGCTCGCGGCCGGTTTGCGAACTTTTACTGGCGTTCCTGTGTGCAAGCGGTGGCTTCTTGTGTCATGCGCAAGGGCTTGGTTTGTGGTGTCCATCAAGAGAACAGCATTCACCACGAGTATGAGCTTGAGGATTTTCGCTGGGCAATGCTAATTTGTTTGCCCCCACCATTAAAACTCAACCTGGAAGAGAGCATTCTCTCTTCTCCAGCATTGCTGCTGTCATTGTGGAATATGTTTGAGCTTAGCTCCTTTGGCAGAAGCATAGCTCATCGGATCGAGCTATGCTTGAGCTTTCAGGCCTATGTCGCTACCGCCTGGTGAAGCATGCACAGTCAAACAAGGAGCAGAAGCTGCAAGAGGCGCGAGGGTGGCAGCCGATGGCAGTTGATTGCATGTAGATCAGAACCAAATTTGCGATCAGGGGGCCATGTCCAAAAAGCGTTTCTTGGGAGGCTGGGGAGTCTGCATGCCGAAACGCCCGTGTGGTTGGGCATCATGCATATTCTCAACGTGCACTCCGTTTCAAGGCAATGCTCGAAGGCCTGGCGACAAGAAATGTGGTCTTGAAGTGGAAAGCTTCCCCCTGGGCTGGTCTGTTCAGTTGAGAACGAGGCAGCTTCATGAACTTGATTGTAAACGTACTTCTGGGTTGGTTATCCCACTCTAGCTGACATGAAGATACTCGGCACAGTTCCTAAATTTTGAAGGGTTCACAGTGTGCTTGCATGGCATGCACATGGAGTGCCAGGCCATTGCTAGGAAGTGCTCCCGCCGCCGCTGCTGCCGTTGTTCTTGACCGGTTGTTTGTTTGTTTTTGCTTGCTGGTGGGCACAAGCGAGCACCATTCCTGGCTCGCTTGTTGGCTAGCTGGGTCTGTTTGTTTTTTTGAGGCTTTGAGGGAGCCCGTTTTGTTGTCCGAAAAGATTCCCACCACTCGGTGGGGTCCCATGGCTAGCGCTTAGCCAGGCCATGAAGTACCTGCAAGAGGCCAACTTGTTGGACCGAGAGCGCCCGGAGATCTTAGCCTGGCTCGGCATTTGCGCGGTGGAGCTGGGCTTGGTGCAGATCGCCAAACAAGCTTTTAGGCAGCTGATGCGGTTTGAGGAGCGCCTGGAGGCACGGGCCGCGGTTACTGCTGCGTCTCCTGACATGTTGACAAAGCCCAGGTTGCCTTTCGGTGTGATTGATTGGTTGGTTGGTTGATTGGTTGGTTGGTTGGTTGGTTGATTGATTGATTGATTGATTGATTGATTGATTGATTGATTGATGGACTGCAGCAAGGAACCCACAAGGAAAGAGAAAGGAGGGAGGAAGCAACTTCAGATAGCTGCATCATGCAGAGGTCGTAAGTACTCCAAAGCCATCCAGAGGTCCCGGTAGCCTTGGAGTTGGCCAACGTCTTCCTCCGCTTCAGCAACGAGCAGCAGGCCAGCTACGCTGAGCGAGGTCGCTTGGTCCAGGACGGCCGGTACTGTGCTGAGGCTGCAGCCATGGCCAAGGCCTGGACGGGAAGGTGACGTTAGCTGGAAGGGAGCGGTTGGGCTAGCTGGGGTGTCCAAGTTTGCTGCAAAACAGGGAACTAAGGAGCTACCACGGGGTCACGGTGGGGTCTGTAAGGACATTGTAGTAGATGACAGATGGCGTAGCACGACTGGAGTTGGTTCGCATCGCTCATGTCTGAATTTCAAAGGCGCCCCTCCACACCTTACCCAGCCAGCTAGCTCCTGAAGGATAAGAGCAAGAAGCAGCTACTGGTAGTAGAGCTTTTTGCCATTCACGCAGGCACCAATGTTTGTTGCCTGCTCTGTGGCGTTGTCAGGAATGAAGATGCACCAGCCTTTTTGTTGAGGCCGCACAGGGCTCACCGAGTACACGGAACATTTGCGTGCAAGATGAATCATGTGTTTTGCTGGATGGCACAAGGGGCAATCTACCTTGTCCCTGACGCATGCTGTTTCATCGCCACTGTTCTTCTATCCTATTGTTGCTTGGCGGAGTCCACTTGAGCCACAATAAACACTTTGGGTAGATGAAGGTTAGTAAGGGACAATCCCAACCATAAAGTGATTTGTCAACCAACCTGAGATATGTGCCAACCTACCCTTCCAACCTAAACTCACCCATGGGCCAAGCAGCCCACCAGGTGACGAACCCCCCCAGTGAAACGAGGCCGTCATGGACCGCGGACAGTGCGGCCGCGCCCAGCAGATCTTGGCCTGGTGCAAGGCCTTGCAGGGAGACCACGGGGCCGCTGCGGGGGACTTCTGCGCCGCGCTGCCGAACCTTCAGGAGACATCCGGAGAGGTGAGGTGGGATTGGGGGAAGTGTGATGGATGCCTGCCTTTGTCCGGTGGTGGTGGATCTTTGTTTATTCTGAAACACTTCCTGCCTTGCTTCCGCTGACCACCAAGCATATCCTGCAAGCAAGCCTGGTTAGAACATGTAGAAATAAATGATGGATGACAGTTGGACCAGTCGTCTCTCATGGTCATTCTGTTTGATGTTTTCTGTGGCCATGGTTGGCTTTTGAAACGAGACTTGAGACTGAACACGAGCTGCACGCAATGTTGCTGGCATTGCTCGCGACTGCGTTGGGACACGTTCCGTCGCACAGTCGTGCCGCTTTGGCCCGTTTGCTTAAACTCCGGCGCGTTTTGGACGTGTGACCTACAGGAAGCAAAGCAGTCGCTGTCACTTGCACTTGCCGCGACTGGTCCGTCTTGGGCCCAGCCTTGTAAAAAGCTCCATAGGCTGTCGCCTGTCTCTCCCGCAACTGGCTCCAAATAGCCAGCTAACTTGTTGGATCAACGAGGGGGGTTTGCCGCGCTTCGTTTGAAGGATCAAGCTGGCCTGGCGCTGCCAACCCATGATGCGCGCGGGGGGCCAGCTCAAAACAGGCCCATTCGCCATCTAGCTTCTCCCACGCCCCTCATCCTGCAGCGTACATTTTGAGGCAACGCACCGCTGCGAAATGCTGTTAACCACACGGGTGCGTGAACAACTATGTGCTGCAGGTGCTGCATGGCATGGCGGCAGCGTAAGGGCCGTCGTGTTGATCTCGACATCTGTAGTGCGACACCAGCCGATGTTGCGCATGCGACCAGCGCGAAACAGACCCCCTTGCTACACCCCTGCAGGGGCCCAGAATGGCTGGTAAAACGCATACGATTTGCACATGTGCGCAACGTGTTGCCTCGCAGAATTCCTAGCACAGGCAGGGAATGAAGGACGCAAGTAAAGGTGCCGCGCATCTTCCCGTCTACTGAGAGCGGGGGTTTGCGTACAAGCAGGCCTCCAAATGGCTTTCGCGGAATCTTTCGTGAAGCAACTTCTTTATCGCCTGCAGTGCTATGGCCCTCCAACGTCCTGCGCAGCATAAGTCCTTATACGGACCTTTTTGCTCAATTCCCATATCAAAATACGCATACTTTGCGGGTTGCGGCCCTACGTTGCCGCACGCCTGGAGGCGTATGTGAACGGCGCGGCTACTGGGCTTGCAAGCTCAACTGCAGCAGCAACAATTGCTCCAGAGCGCACACTGCAAACAAAAGTGCGTGGCGATGGAGACGCGAAAGATTCGCGAAAGAGAATGTTTTTTCTTGCGAAGAGCTGCGCTTTCTGGAAGCAGGAGTTTTTTATCAAAGGCAATTTGGGTGTCTTTTGAAACATCCGTGCATTCAGATATGAGGGAAGACCACCCTGTTCTTAGCGTTGCCCTCGGCGCAAGCTTCGTGATGGAGGTCGCGAAAGCTAATGTTGCTTTGCACGGCCGTTTTGTGTAGGGGTGGTTTGCTGAAAGCAGAATGAGATGATGAACCATGTGTATTTGCCGACAGCGCGCGCGGCAAGCACGCTACACGCAGCGCGCGCAGGCAGCAAGCACAAAACGCACTGCTCGGCCAATCTTGCCCAGCTCGAAGATACATCACGAAAGCAAACTAGGTCACGCAACATCCAGCAGGAGTTCATGATATGCACGCTGTCTGACTTGAGGGCAAGGCTGCTACAAGGTTATACTAAACATGGTTGCGACTGATGGGTCCTGTGAACCGGTGGCAACCTTGTGATCATGTGCGCTTTTGCTTCTAAAATATAGTAGTTAAAGACAGTGCAGACCATGCGTTGCGCATGTCAGCGTCCAGCATATTTTCTGACACTGCCCTGGTGGCCTAAAGCTTGAGTCTTCCTCTCAACCTTTCTGCGCAGAAATCCCGCCAGCAGTCCTATCTTTCATCCTGACCCGTCTCCAAACCATGGCCATGCATCGCATTGCATCCACTCCCAAACGTTTTCTCATGGCGTGACAATGTGGGACCATGTGCCTTTGGAAGGACCCTGCCGCCTTGGAAGAGGCCGCGAACATGGCCCGTCACTGTGCATCTATGGTGCCTGGGGAACCCCATTTGGTGGCCCTGGTGGAGGAGGCTGGCTCAGATCCACTTCCCTACTTCCAGCATGCACAGAAACATGGGGCCATGGATGAAGTTGTCCTGAGTGTTGGCTTCCAAATAGTAGACTGGTTTGAAGGTGAAAGGCTTTGGTAGTTGGGCCTAGGTTCTTGGGGCATCTGATTGGTTTGAAGGTGGAAGGAGCGTTGTGCTTGTGGTGAAGTGCTTGGGGCCCCATGGCCCGCAACCCAAGCGGCTGATTTGGAGCTCCAGGCCATCGCCATGGCCGTCGAACCAAAAGAGCCCGAGCCGACGGAAAGCTGCGATGGCCTTGACAACGTCAGCGATGACCAGGCCGGGTGGGGCAGACTTTCGCTTTTTAAACCACATCCAGAGGTTTTTCTTGAACGCCAACCAATAGAGGAGTTGAACTATAGTGGTTTTGACATGTTTGAAGTGGCTGCACCGGCTTCTTGGAGCCGTATGGGTCGGATCTCCGTGCTTGGTCTCCTTTTGGTTTTGGATCCCAAATGTGGAGTCAGCGGCTAGGCCAGGCTCATAGACTTGCAGGGAGACAAGGGCAATTCGACAATCAAACTCCAAGGTTCCACTTGGCCCCAGGAAACGAGTGCAACCGACTCAGGATTACGGGAGGTGTAGTGGCTCAGCCCTGGACTTCATTCGCCCAGCCTCGTTTTTGGAGTCACTGGCTTGCGAAATTCCTCTCCCGAGTATTGGTCAGGGCCAGGACGCCGGGGCCAGCTGAAGGCAGCCCCAGAGGCCAGAAAGGGGCTGGCGGCAGTTGGGTTTGACCAAGCCTTCAGGCAGGCGAGGTGGTTTGGACAGTGCCCACGTGCTGTAGCAAGTTGGTTACAAACCCAAGTATTTGCATTGAGCTTGTTTTGCTCAAAAGTGTGTCGCTCGCCCATGTCCATGGGCTTAAGAATTGCCAAGCAGACAGTTGGACTTGGATAGCACACTGCATGTCACCCAAAGGTAAGTAGTCGGAAAGTCACCCGCCTGGAGGGTTCTGTATTTGTGTGTGACGTCCATCCCAACATTCTGCCTTGTTGCCATCAGCAATGCAGCAATACAGACTCCATGACTTGGAAGGGCAGGGCCATTGGCGGGCATGGTCTGCAAAGACCCATTCAGACCAGCAAAGGGTGTGGATAGGCAGTGCCTGTGGCACGCTATTTACGTGAGTGTGAATCGGATGTTTTGTCGCATTCAACAGGTTTTGCCTAAACAATCGCCCTACATCAACAGTGTGGAGCATCCATAGTGAAAGATGGATGGGCAGCCTGCGCCACCGAACTACCGTGGATTTGGAGTTTAGAGTTCTGCGCTGAAAGCTACTTTGCGAGGCGTAAGGCAACCTAGGAATTGAATCTGCACAGTAGGAGGCTGCAATTGCTCGTTCAGTCCAGGGCCAATCGTGCACAATGTGCTGGCCTTGCGTTCTTAGGTATGTCCCGGGGGAAGCACGCTGACCTGGTTTGAGCACAAAGGTCAAAATAAAGTATCCCAATCATGGCTATGTTTCCCGGGCCAGGGCTCCTAAATGGGGGCCTGCGGGATACCAGGTTTGGCTCATTCCACGCTCTCAAGGTGCCCGGGAGCTGGGCGATGTCGGCTAAAAACGAGCTGATTTGGAACGTGTCACCGAACCTTGGCTGAGAACATCCGCCAAACCTTGGTGGACTCGACAGGCTCAAGGGTTGTGCGGGGTTGCATGCCGAACTTTGGCACAGGTCCCAGAGCTCGACCGACCAAACTCCCACAATCAAATGTAGCCTTTCAGGGCTCAAATTCTCAATGGTTGCTTGGAGCACTTTCAACATGCAGCCTCTTTGGTTTGACCCTCTTACGGCAGAATTCGCGCGTTTCACCTGATAGCAGTGACGATCTTTGACGAAAACAGGCAACTCACAAGCCGGCCGAGCCTCGCGGAAAGTCCTACGGCAGAAGATCCCTCAACCCTTGGCTCTGCATGTCAAGCATGAGGAAAGTCGGGATATTCCAATCGGAGCAACCAATTGCTGAGTAAGATTCGATCCGAAAACTGTTTTCTGTGCATTTCTGTTGCGTGACAATTCCCTACAAAGGCGAGCCAGCGCTATTGCCTCGCCTTTTCTGCCCGGACTTCGACAGTGGAGACTGTCAGTTGCGCAGCCTGTCTCAAAGACTTCGGGGCTTTGGCCAGCCTCTTTGATGTAAAGATGAGCTTTGCTTGCCCTCCCCTCCACTAACGCGGAACCTGACTGATGGGCCCTGGAAGGCTGACCCTCTGTTGGGTTCCATGTTAGTGGACAGGAGGGTACCACTTGGGGACATCACTTGGGAACTGCATTCCATTCTCAGCGGTGAAGTCTGACAAATAACTAAGCAAACTGCACAGCACTCACTGACGCCGCAAGGCTTGCGTGACGCTGCAACCCTTAATGGCAGAGCGATTGAGCAAACCTGGAAGCCCAAGCGCGGTTGAACCCTTCGAGGTAAAACAACCTTGCCCTTTTCTTGATGATTCCTGCGGGGATTCACCCACGCCAGAGGCCCAGTTCTCAGAAGCTGTTGGCTCACCAAGCCTTCCTGCGCCATGTCCTTGCGTCGAGTTCCCTTCGCCTTCTATCGCAGCGGCACGTCAAGGGGCCTGTTCCTTGAAGAGCCTTGGATCTTTGGACATAGGACGGTGTGGCAGCTGCCAAGTTGGGCAATTGACAAAGCTAGGGTTACCCATGTCAGATGTTGCACACCCATGTATATCCATGACTTTGAGCGGGCAACTTGTTTACATGCGACGAGGCCGCTTCCCCAGGAAGACCTAGTGTGATTGCTTTGGCATCATTGCTGCCATGGCTCAGTTTGATTTACATAATTTGATTCATGTTGCTTTGGTTGGTTGGTTTATTACCATTTGGACATGGGTCGATTTTGCACCACCAGGGGGCCGCATCTTTTTGGTCCATTCCACTTACCAGGGTTCCATGATGGGGTTCCCCGATATTTGGACTCACTGCCATTGAGCCCTTGGCTCAACTGAATTGAGGAGGGGCACGTCCCTGCTCGTGGCCCTACCCGTGAGCGTCTGCTCTGCAAGCTTATGGGCAGCGGGGTCCCACAGCAGGTCAGCGGATTCGGTGGAGGGACCGGGCCCACCAACAAGGCTGGGGCAGCTTTGGGTTGCTCTGGGTCCTTGCTGTGGGTGAGCGAATTTTGAGTTTGGCATGGCCTTGCATCATTGTTCAGTATTGTGGCTGAGTGGTGATTTGAGTTCAGTCGAGCTAGGCTGCCGCATAGCCGTTTGGTCCCTGAGCCATGACTCAGAGAGCGGTTGAGCAAGACACTGTTCAGCAATGGCGGATGTAAGACACCGTGCTGTACGCTGAACGAGATGGTCCCTGCAAGAATCCTTTGCTGTCATCCTTTGGGAGAGAAGCAGGTAAAGGGAGGCAACACACAGCATGCCTTAAGCTATGTTTTTTTTGCCGCATCTGCACAGGGAAATCAATATTGTTTCAAGAGTCCTAAACATGTAAACACCCATGGCTGGCAAGAGGGGCTTTACGCTTTCGTTGCCAATTGATGGCAAGCCGTTGCCCATTGATGGCAAGCCCATTGCCGCAGGCAAACGTCAGTAATTCTCCAGCCCGGGATGGTTGCTTTTTTGTTTGGGGATTCCAGGTGATGATTGTGGGGCAACACTCGCAAAGCGGCTGGGTGACGATGGACTTCAACCAGGTGGTGGTGGATGTCCCGAAGGTGGACTTCTCCCACGGGGACTGCGGCAACATGTTGGCGGCCGTGGGGCCCTTCGCGCTGGAAAAGGGCCTCGTGGAACCTGAGGTCCACGGGCAGAAAGCCACGGTGCGGATCCATAGCGCCAACACGGGCGCCTGCTATGAGGCGGAGGTGTGGCTTGGACAAGAAGCTCTCAGGGCTCAGGGGTGGAGGGTGGGTGATGTTGACCCCATATTAAGCAATCCCTGTTCATTAGTACGGGAATGAGTTCCCCTGTAAAGGGATGATTGCCAGGAACGTCCCCCCTACAAGCAAACAGGGAGTTGTGAAAATGGGGTACGCATTACTGAGCACAAACCAGTGAGCCACGCAGCCACAACTTAGGCTGAGTGCTACAATGTTGTGCCGTGTAGGTTAGACAGGCGGAATCAACACACCAATGTCCCACAGAAGGCTTTTCCAGAGATTGAATGCTGGGACGTTGAATTGTGCAGTCGGTGCTCGCAGATTAAAAGGAGTATGGGCAACTTGGTATGGCGCTCATTGGTTTTTCCTGTTCCCATAAGCTGGGCACTTTTGCAAACAGTCGGACGCAGAAACTTACGTAGCTTTCCAAGGCGTGCTAGCGCAAGATCTCGGAGCTGTTACAGGCAGTTCTAGACTTGTTGGCATGGTGGCAATTTCAGAGTTCCAACCTGTAGAGAGAGAGAGAGAGAGAGAGAGAGAGAGAGAGAGAGAGAGAGAGAGAGAGAGAGAGAGAGAGAGAGAGAGAGAGAGAGATAAGAAGAAGAAAACTAGACCACGGTTGGCCCGAAAGCTAACATCGCAAGCGAGGTCGGCCCAACGCTGCAGGATGCGTTCTTTTTCCCTCCACGAAGCATTTGTGAAGCAAGCGCGGGACAGCACCAGGCAAGGTGCTCTGCGCAAACTGGTCGGTGCAAGTTGGTCTGCGCAAGTTGCTCTACGCAAGTTGCACTGTGCAAGTTGCTTTGCGCAAGTTGCTCCGCGCAAGTTGCTCCGGCAAGTTGGCCCCTGCAAGTGGCTCCCTGCAAGTTGCTCTGTGCAAATTGCGCTCCCTGCAAGTTGCTCTGCGCAAGCTGCTCTGCGCAAGTTGCTCTACGCAAGTTGCACTGTGCAAGTTGCTCTGCGCAAGTTGCTCCGCGCAAGTTGCTCCGGCAAGTTCGCCCCTGCAAGTG